ATAACTTAATTTCCTACCGTTGCTATCAAAGAAATGTAGTAGCATGTTTGATCTGCCACGTTCTGGGTCTTTCAAGCAGAGAACTCTCATCAGTTAATGACCAAATTGATCTTTATAAAAGTTCACATCACAATGCTGTTGCAGATTAAACATAATGTGGATAACATATATTTCCATCAGGTTAGATACTGATTCAACCCCCTTTATCTAAACCTGTCTAGGCCTACTTAATTTTCAGTCTTGCACATCCACAATATTTGTTTTTTTCATGTTTGTAGTTCTAATTTGAATCATAGTCCAACGTGCAATGGGTTGAGGCCAATATTTGCCATTAGAGTGTGCATGGATCTCTGCCCAGTTGCATAAATTGCACTTTGGATTCTAGCGGGAAAAGGTACCTCATCCGAGTATCTTTGGAATACTCATTTCAACATAGTATGATTTGGGACACTAATTTATCATTTTGAAAAACTGAATACTATTTAGGTCGGATGAATTGGAATGCAGCAAGTGTGAATTACTTCAATTTTAAAGAAGCTACTTGATGAGTCTATTTTTCTCCCAATGTTTTTATTTAAATAGTGAATCTTGTAAAATGGGCATTTTAATCATATTGGTGATAATGCTAAATTATATCAAGTATAAAACCAGTTTTTTTTTTTTTTTTAAATAAACGCATGTCTGGTTTGGTGTTGATGAAAGGGCCTTACTGATGAGACTGTGCCTAAGACAAAAGGTTTAGATCACAGTTTAATTACATTGAAACATGCATTGTTTTCCCGTTATTTAACAGCGTGTAATCAGTCTTTTTCTTTCTTCTCATTCTTGTACCTACACTAGACAGGAACAGGAGACAAGAAAAAGGCAGAAAAAGAGTCATTAAATATGCAGTGAAGAGCAGCAGCACTTCAGGCGTAATGAAAGACTCAGTGCTGTCAGAGCTTCAGACCTGCCATCCACCGGGAAACACCAAATCCTTCCTCATTTCGAGACATAAGCCAGAATATACACACACAAGTATTTGTATAACACAAGACGATCTAAAGGGATGAGCTATTACTGCTATTCAGTCAATTATAAACAATGAAATGCACCACACTTCACCCATTACTCAATCGTGGTGTATCACCCTTGTAAAAGATTAATACAGCTGACATGCTTAAAGACACCAAGTGCTTTGATTCATTGAACAGTGCAGTATTGCATACATGTGATAAAGGAAATCTGTAAAATTACCTGCAATTTTCTCCTTACAGCAACGCAATCAAACCCTTTTGTTCGCTGCATATTATGACACCTCTAATTAGGCACTCTGGAATTATTTTTGTGATATAAATGTATTCATTTTTCTTCTCTGATATTCAGCACAAGAAAAATTAACTACCCATAGACCCGCCACGGTATTATTTTAAAGGAATATTAAAAGGAAAGCATTTTTCCCCACTGTGTTATAGAATTTCTCAAGTGTAAGCTATTTCAGCTTAATCTCTTTACTATAACCACATGCAGGTCATTATTTAGTTCTGGTTCTCCCCTGTGTAGCTAAGGGGTTTTCTTGCCAAAGGCTGCTTCATTGCCTCCATTCTGGGACATATATTTTTTGTCTCCCCTAATGCAAAAATCCCACTGTATGTGAACAGAAAGCTGATAGGAAGCCATAATTAAATTAGCTTTAAGCAATGAGCCAAAGAGAGAGATTGAGTGGAAAAAAATAAGATTGAGAATAAGACACTTCTGAAATAACTTTATAATTGGGGCCATTCATTCATGTTTTTGACACACATGCACACACACATTTTCATGTTTTATGGGTTCTCTCTGATTTTTTAAACTGTATTCTATCACCTTACACTAAATCCCCCCCATCACACAAAACTTTCTGCATTTTTATATTTTCAAGACTATGAAATGGTTTTCTCATGGGGAGCAACAAAAATCCTCACAAGGATTTTGGATATTGAAATTTTTTTTGTGGGGACATTTTGTCACCATAATGTAGGCTTTACCAGACCAGCCCACCCCTCACACACACACACACACACACACACAAACACACACACTTCTTCACTCGAGCTGTCACTCGAAGTGTTCTATTAAAAATCAACACCAGAGAGGTAATCCTGTAGCAAAAGCTAACCACATAAAAGGGGAATCCTAGCTCAGGTCTTCAAATTATTTAAATGGTTAGTTTTTGTGATGCTTATGGCTACAAAATGATTGTTTACTAAACTCTCTGAGGGAAAATAGACATTCAGTCAGTGTTGGCTTTTAAGTGTAGTACGTGTAGTAAAAGGTAGCCTAAATCAATTCTCTTTGGCTGAGTGGGGTTAAATCTTTACTTTAAATCCATTTCAAACACAACAACCCTCCTAGTGGAGAATTAAAGTAACAACAACATAAGAATCGAGAGGCATTATGGTTGTCTGAAAGGAAAGCACAATGCAGCTTCCCCTGTGTTAGGGGAGTTTCATGTAAGCCCATGATTAAAAGCCTGTTTGTACAATAAAAGAAAAATTAATTAGGAATAAAAGTAACGGTACATATATTAATAAATTCAAATAACAGCTAGAGATTCTGATTGTTTGATGGAAGATCATGCAGGAGACAGTTTAGAACAGCAGATGGCAGCATTGTATAACAACATACAACATTTTTTTTTTCCGCTATAGGACACATTTCTCGACTTGGGTCACTTTTTCAAAACTTTACACATGCAGTGAGCACAACATTAGTCTATTTGGGCTAAACTGAGCATTCCTTATCATTGCTTTAGCTTAAAATGCATTTACTGACCACATATTTCACTTTACAATAATTTGTTTCTCAATTACTCTGCACCTAGACAACAATGTGTACACGTTTACATACTTTTTTCAAAACTGTTATACTTCAAGGGGAACTTTTATACTATTATTATGACCATCTTTACAAGATGTAGGCTAATGTAGGCATCTCCAGAATGTGAAGTTTTAGCTCAAAACACACAACAGATTTATTGTCCCATGTTGTAAATGCCACATTTTTGAGTGGAAGGAAAAACAAAACATTTTTTTGTGCATTCCAGAAGAGGGCGGATTCTTAACAGCTTATATACTCTGCCAAAAATTAAACATCTGTTTATTTGTTTATTTTATCATCTGTATTGCGTCACATAACTTATCTGCATGCCTTTTAACGACATCAGTCAATAGTTCATATATATGGTTTTCTGAGAATACAAGCACACGCACAGAAAGCAGGATGTCAGACGGCACATCTGGTGTTTAAACTAAACTGTCAAATGCACACAAAGTTCACATAAACAGTCGGTTATGTCTGTGAACTTAAACAGCAAGTAAAGAAAATCGCATGTTATGTTAGATCTGTTAATTAGTTTTTTTACAACTGCTATTCGTTTGTCCAATCTAGTCACATTCTCAAAACTGTAAACACAATTAGTACAACATGATCGTCTATTGTGACCATATGACACAATTCATGTTATTTTACCCCAAAATTAAAATTCTGTCAGTATTTACTCACCCTCATGTCGTTCCAACGCCATAAGACCTTCGTTCATCTTCGGAACACGAAGAGTTTTGATGAAATCTGAAAGCTGGATCACTCCTCCATAATCCATAGGCTTCTTGAGGGATTAAAACTTGCTGGCCTCGAAAAGTTATTAAACTAGACATCGTTAAAATAGTCCAAGTGACTACAGTGGCTCAATCTTAACTTTATCAAGCGACGAGAATACTTTTTGTGCACCAAAACAAACATAAATAATGACTTTAATTCAACTAATTCACTTCCTTCTTGTCTTTGCGCCTATTTCACAAAAATGGCCGCCAAAGACCGGAAGTAGTGTAAAATCTTTTCCGGTGAAAGCGCAAGCAATTACAGTCGGAGGACAAATGCCGAGATTAAAACCGGTCCGTCCTGTTGCATACCTTTTAATGTTTCAAACCAAAGAAGAAACATATTTATCACTTTGCACAGCTTTTCGTGTTTTGAGGGTTTTTCATGGAACAACTGGGGAGAAGATCTCACCTTTTGTGTGCGTGCATGTGTGTGTGTGTGTGATCATGCATTGTTGTTGTTGGATTTTTTTTTATTTTTTTGCTTTAGTGCCAGGCCTTCATTTATGTGTGAACATTTTTAGATTCATGCTGGAGTTATTGATTTTATTTGCCAATTAAAAAAATATCTCTTTTTCAGTCACACCTGTTTGTTTGAATGTGTCTCTCTGTGTGTATGTGATCTGTGTGTAGTCATGTTCTTTCCATATTGCATTTGTGTGTGAAAACATTTAGATTTATGCAGAAATTATTGATTTTATTTCCCAATTTCTAGAAACTTTTATAGAACATCTCTATTGCCATCATGTGGGTATTTGTGTTTGCTTTTTGAGAAGCTTTTTGAGTTTTTTGAGTTAATGAAGTGAATACAAATATTTTATACTAAAATGAATTAAAAATAAGATAACTTATTAGATAAGATAAATAAGATAAGTATACGATAATAAGTAATAACTAATAAAAAATAACAATTTTTTCCTTAATTAAATTAATATAGGCCTAGCAAATCTCACAAATCTTGCCACTGGGATTAAATAGCTTATTCCATGTTATTTTAAGTCTCATGCTGAATCGTTTAACAGCCCAGATATTTAGTCATTAAGCTGTCAAAAATTATGTAGGGAAAAAATAATTTACCAAAAGGCTTGATTCCCCTGTAATCATTTACAATAATTAAAGACTATAGGGGGCCATTATTGTGGCAGATTAAATTATATTCATAATTATTTATGTTTGGCATGTTAAACACAGATGTAATGGCTGTAAAATGGCCAGGATTACGTACTTATTATTATGCGCTTAATATTTTTCAATGATTGTGTATGTACAGAATATGTGCATGGATCTGCATTGTATGCCAGGGGTTTGCGTATGTCATTGTGTGTGTGTGTGTGTGTGTGTGTGTGTGTGTGTGTGTGTGTGTGTGTCTTTTCTCTGACACAGAGCAGGCACACACAGTTTCCCTGTAGAAGCATCTCCATGGTGTCCACTCGCTCAGTATCTCTGGGTTTTGGCTGGCAGAGGAGCTCAACACTCCTACATAGATAGACAACAGGCTGATGCTTAATCCGTTTCATCAATGTGTATGGTCATATTTGCTCCGGTAAGACCTCTTTCTCTAAAACCTTCAAGTATTGGTTCATTTTAAAGCATTAGGAATTCTATTTTAACAAGATGGACTGGCACAATTATAGCACTTATCTGAAACGTCACTAAGCTAACTTAACTAAAAAAATGTTTGTTTTATAAATTATTAAAGTATTACCAGAATAGAAATATAATATGACTATTAAATTTGTCAGTATGCAATTGGGTTTGCCCATAATTTGACAGTAGCAAGGACAAGTGTCTAATAAAAGTAAAGTCCTGATAAAATGTAGTGCAGTTTCTCATGGTTGAATTCTTAAAATAGCCTTTCAGGCATGCAGATACGTCTATCAAAAATCAGGTTTAATTATTAGCTGGTCTTTGGGGTCACAGCATCGGCTCCCTGTTTGTAGTCTCTCTTGCTTGAATAATTCATCTGCTCTTGTTGAAATGTGCAAAAGATCGATGCCATCTAGCTCTTTGACAGCCTTTACAATAATGAATCTGTGTTGTGATAAAAACAGCACAATTGCATATTTGTATTTGCATTGTATATGCATATGTGTGTGTCTGTGTGTGTAAATGTGAGGTAATTAGTGTGTGTGTGTCTGTGTTTGTCTGAATGTGCTGCAACCCCTGGGTAATCTTTGCATAATTCACTGGATCTCATTTGAGACTCATCAAAGAAGCTACCTTTTTTTTTTCTTCTTTGCTTCATTTGTTCTGTGTATGCATGTTCTAAAGATATTATTTTATTTATAGGGGATGTCTGTATGTGTGATACTTTTTAAATATTCACACAGTTTTTGGTTAAGTATTTTTTAGTACACTTAAGTATTTAGAAATAAATAGCATAATACATTTTTAAAAATCTCCATTCTCTTTCTATTACTGTGTCTCAGTCTTCTCTTGACACACACAGACCCAAACGCTGAAGTATCCCAGACAGTATTTCATTTGTATATACACAGTAAAGGCATTAAATCTTAATTGAAAGGAGCCGCATCCTTTCATCTGCTGTAGTATCGGAAACAGAGAGAGAGAGAGAGGAAGGGATTGGGGGAAAGAGAGAATAGCAGGAGACTTGGATATATTTCTTATCTAACACCTGTGTCCACAGAGAATAAAGCCCTGGCACTTCTGCAGTAAACCCCCAGCCCTTTCATTAATTATGCCAAACACAATACAAAACCTGTGAAAAATATTCAAATTGTGTCAGACAAATGTGTTGATGCCTGGCATCCAGGTTTAAAACAACTGCAGGGGTATTAGTGCACTTAAAAATCATCTGTGTCTAATTTTGCACAATTAAATGTCCAGCAGTAGGATGAGAGGTCATTTAAATTGACCTTAAATCAGAAAACTGGAGGATAATTAAAACAGAATGTTTTAAAGGGTTAGTTCACCTTAAAATTATGTCACGAATGACTCACCCTCATGTCGTTCCAAGCCCGTAAGACCTCCGTTCATCTTCGGAACACAGTTTAAGATATTTTAGATTTCTGTCCCTCCATTGAAACTTGTCCTCGTCCGGAAAGAAAATAAAGACATCATCAAAGTAGTCCATATGTGACACCAGTGGGTTAGTTAGAATGTTTTAAAGCATCGAAAATACATTTTGGTCCAAAAATAACAAAAACTACGACTTTATTCAGCATTGTATTATCTTCCAGTTCTGTTGTCAATCCACATACAGTGACGCTGATGACGTGTTATCTGGTGTTTCTGTGTATTCGGGTTCAAATAAATATGTCTGGGCAAAAAAAAATGCAAGTCTTCCTCTGTGTCGAAATCCGAAAAGTCATGCAAAGATTGTTTTGTTTACAGCGTGCGTCTCCCTCAGACTGTAAACAAAGCTCGGGCGCACTGTTAACACGTCTTCAGCGTCACTAAACGTGGATTTACAACAGAATCGGAAGACAATACAATGCTGAATAAAGTCGTAGTTTTTGTTATTTTATGGACCAAAATGTATTTTTGATGCTTCAAAACATGCTAACTAACCCACAGATGTCACATGGACTACTTTGATGATGTCTTTATTTCCTTTCTGGACAAGGACAGTATATCGTATACATTTTTAATGGAGGGACAAAAAACTCTCGGACTAAATCTAAAATATCTTAAACTGTGTAAGGATGAATGGAGGTCTTATGGGCTTGGGACGACATGAGGGTGAGTCATTAATGACATCGTTTAAAAAAAGAAAAAAAATTAATGACATCATTTTCTTTTTTGGGTGAACCAACCCTTTAATGTTCTATGAGGTTAATTTGTCTCGACTTTGTCTGATGAAGTAAAGCTTCTGTACAGATGGGGAGTCAAGAGAGCTGATCTTATACTGCATCATCAGGGCACTTAATTAATATTTAGCTTCCCCTCCCCCCAGCTTTGTGCTGTTTTAGCATTTGCAACATGTGGGGGATATTCTGGCCAGATAATGGTTAAAGTGGAATGTTTGGACAAAATCCAAAACAACATCAGCATCAGTTTCGACTACCCATTCAGGTAAGTGTTCTTAATTACCACAATGCAATTTAAGCATTAAAATGTGTTACACTTTAGTTATGTATTATCCGTTGTATTTGTTGTACTGTGTGGCAAGCAGGACAAGGTCGAGGGCTGGAGGATGTCGCGAGGCCGTGCCGTGATTAATGATGAGGTACACTTGCGCGACGCACACCGGTCTCGTGCCATCCTCCCACGGCCCTTGGCCTTGTCCTGCTCGCCACATACTGGTTCAAACTCTCTTTACATCCTGATAGCAATCAATACTAGTAATGGTCTAAATATAAAAATATTTACATTTACAAAACATTTACTGTGGAAGTCTTTGGACCAAAAAAGTTTTTCCAATCATCACACGTCATCAGCGCATTCCATGAGGCAATGCAGAGTTGTAGACAGACAACAGCCGCGGTTTCATTACAGATTTAAAACTTTTGTGATATTTTCTGTCGATAAAAAACTATCGCAAAATGGCGGCGTTTCCATTATGCGATGTTATGCCACTAAAACGTCTTTTTTTCTCTCTCGCAATTAGTTGTTTCAAAATCATGGCAGTGGATGTTGATTTACATGTATCCCAGTCACCGCACTATTCATTATTTTTAATCGAATGAGACGTAGACGTGTTATCCAAGCATTAATGGCAACTTGGCAAGGAAAGCCTTTATTTTTGGAGCGGCTCATGTAAGGTGTTTCTGGGTGTTTCTCCCTAAAATATGCTTTATGGGCTTGATAAATTGCGGCATTTCTTTGCTGTTTAGAATCCAGTATTCCTGTAATTCTGTTGTCTTTTATGAGTTTAATAAAGAACTCTGTCTTGTCTTTTGTCCAAACATACCACGCTATGTCAGGTGACATGCAAAAACTGTTTCTATTGCAGTTTTGCGAAATATCACCTTTTCGATTTGCCTGAAAAACCACCTTGTGCGAGCGTTAAAATTTTTTTTTGCGATATATAGGGGTCTTTGTGAAATTGACGTGTTTTCATTGGCCGTATTTTCAATGAGCAATTTCAATGTCAAAAGGTAATGGAACGTAGTCACTGAGCGGTGCAAACAAACAACAGCTACCTATTTACACTTCCTCCTGAAGCAAAACAATGAGCTTATGCTGCGTTCACGCCGACTCGGATTTATACATTTCTATGTTAAGTCTATCAACGCTGAAATGAATCTGCAGCAGTCAGGTGTTATGAAAAAGAACTCTTAAGTTGTTTACTTCCATTATTATTGTCATGGGATCATATGTGCAGTGTGTAACTCACTGGTTGTTTGTGCTAGATCTCTCAAGCTTTGATACATGGTAGCCACATCTGTCTAAATAAAACTCACTTGGATGTGTACTACACAATCACAGATTATGTGAGTTAATGTCAAAACATACCCCACTACTGGGATTTTGAATTCATATATGACCAGCCAAATGCTATTTTTTATCTCAGTAACCCTGAGTAATTGGCCACTTGCGCTTGATGAGAAAATTAGTCATTGCTAACTAGCAAACGTATATTTTGTCAGTAATTGAAATTGCCCGATATTGCACCAGTAGTTTTCAGTTTAAGCGCAAGGTCATACTGACAACAGAGAAATACTGAGTGCATCTAAGGGTCAAGACAGGTAGAATTAAGTCCTTACACTATCCACAGTCAAATCTAAAGTAAACTATGAAGTGAGTCACTATTTTTAGAAGAAATTTGACACATTAGTGGCATCCCATTGGCACAGTCGATAAAAAAAAAAGCTATATTTGTGCTTGAAACGTGTGAAAGAGCTTAATTACTATATTTTCTCTCCCCAGACTTCAACAGGCACACTTCAGTGCTCCTCTGTGTGAAGGAACTAAGAAAGAGACTCTCTTTCTCGAAGGAGATTATGCTTCATCTGTACAGTTCTTCGTCACTGTGTCAGTCCTGGCTTTCCTCTATTCCCTTTTGGCCACAATTGTTTATTTCTTCTACCAGAACAAATACAGAGAGAAGAACAGAGGTCCAGTAGTTGTGAGTGCATTTCAAAATTTTTGTAAGAAAAAGACTGAGAGCACACTGTGCTGAAAAACGAAATATAGGTGTTATTTTCTTCTTCTTTTTTTCGGCAGAACACATAACAGATTTGTAATGGCATTGAATAGTACCCGAGTTTTTGATGCACCAAAAAGCGCATTCATCCATCATTAAAGTAATCCATAAGACTCCAGTGGGTTAATAATTGCCTTCTGGAGCGAAGCGATGGGTTTTTGTAAGAATAACAGCTATTCACAACTTTATAAACTATAATCACTGGTTTCACTATAATCACTGGTAGGACGTACATCAGGTCAGAGGGAACCCGACTCTCTCGTGAATGCTCATATGTGGTCAAAAGCCAGTGATTATAGTTTATCAAGTTTTAAATATGGATATTATTCTTACAAACACCCACTGGAGTCGTATGGATTACTTTTATGATAGATGCGCTTTTTGGAACTTCAAAAAAATAATAAACTACAAAGCTGGGAAGAACCAGGATATTTTTAATGTAAAACCGATTGTTTTAAGAAGAAATTTTCATTTTTGGGTGATCTACTCCTTTAACCGAATCACCAAGACCTTCGTTCTGTTTTCTCTTCTTATTTTCAATCGTCATAGGACTTCTTGGTGACTCTAGTGTTCTCTAGCTTGTGGCTGGTAAGCTCAATTGCCTGGGCTAAAACTCTGTCTGGGGTGAAGACAGCCACTGATGTGCATCAAATCCTGCTGTTAATGTCTGCATGCAGAGCCCAGGAGAACTTATGTGAGGTCTTGCAGGAGCCCATCTGGACAAATCTCAACATGTCTGTGGTGAGTAGATTTCTTATTTAGCATCGGTATTGGAAAGAGAATATAAAGGAACTTGTTTTGCAATTGATATACACTACCATTCTAAAGTTTGGAGTCAGTTAGAAATTAATATATTTATTCAGAAAAGATGCATTAAATTGATCAAAATTGACCGTAAAGATATTTATGATGTTACAAAAGATAACTGTTTCAAAGAAATGCTGTTGTTTCTAACTTTCTATTAATTAAAGAATACTGAAAAAGAATTATCCATGTTTGCACAAAAAAATATTAAGCAAGCAACACCAGCGTTTTCAACATAGGTAATAGTTGGAAATGTTTCTTGAACTGCTTAAAACATTTAAAAATCTTACCGACCCCAAACTTTTGAACCCTTTACATGTGAATTAAAAATGTGCCTATATTAAAAAATGCATTTATAACTATTGTTTTATAATTATGCTGGCTTCACAAAATTTGGCACAGTCCTTCATCCTGTTGAATCCCTTAGTAACCAACTAGAATGCCACAACTGCTTAACAACTAGCCTAGAAGTTCCTTAGTAATCACACAACACCCTAGCAACACCCTAGCAACTACTAGTGTCTGTCAGGCCCATATAGCTCAGACTTTTAAGGTTTTTAAAAACTTTCAAGTCTTGGTAAAGGACTTGACAAACTTTCTTTTCCAATAAAAATGACCAATTTACAAGTAGACAATGTTAAATCCCATATTTCTAATTCCTCCTTGTCTGCTTGCAGGCCTTTGGTTTTTTGAACTTCTTCCTTTGGGCTGGTAATATTTGGTTTGCCTACAAAGAGACGGGTTTGCATAAGTCCACCCAGCGCCATCCCTCCAGAACTCCCTCTGAGAAACGCGGCAGCTTCAGGCAGTACAGTCAAACCAGTTTTGATCAACCTGGAGCTGGTTTTGGCCAGAGGCTCTACAACCAGGCGAGTTTTGACTTATCAAGCGGAGGCTTCAGTCTACCCCAAACTAATCTAGGACTGCCGAAGCTGTACGGACAGGCGGGGAGTCCCACATCCAGAGGCCCTCTCATATTTGTCAATGAGATGTGAGAGAGACTGTGACTGTGGAGAAGAGAAAGAAATTTGAAATAAATAACAGCCGACTCTGATGTTTTCTCAGTGATAACACTGATCATTTGTCATTGTGAATTTGATATTTCTATCATGAGACGTAGAAATTGTGGTATTTTTGTAGAGATCAGTCCGCATACTGTTGTTTATTCGTTTACTGTATAATTAAGTCTTGATTCTAACTTTTACCTGCCCTTATGAATTCTCTTTTTATTGACCTATAGCATTTGTTATAAAAAATAGCACCTACAAATTTAGAAATATCTACAACATGCCAGTTGGAGTCTATTGTGAAATGTATTATTATTATGTCACATTGAACTTAAACTTTAAGACCTTGATATAATTATCTATCTATATACATAAAACCTATTTTGCATTTGACTTTACCGTGTCGTATATGGCTGTTGATAAATTGTGATAATTCTACAGTATTTGAATGGCTTTTTGCATTGTATACCTACATTCTAACAGTCTATGTTTGCCGTATACTTTTCAACTTCTCCAAGGTACTTTAAAGAATAACATGGTATAACTATCATGAAAGTGTCAAACAGCATGGCGTTATCACGGTAGCGTGTCCAAAATACCATACTTATTATATGTGGGTTTTTTCAATGTTCTGCAATGAATTATGATTAATTACCAGTGGACGCCTGGAAAAAGCAAATGGTTTGAGTCATCAGAGATTAATCATTTAGTTTAACCTTACACAGGTTACATGTGAAATGCATGCAAAAGAGTGCTAAAATCCAAGTCACTCTGTTGTTCCAGTGTATTATAGGATTTAAAACTGTACAAATGTTATATGGAAACTGATTGCGTCTTAAAATTAAGTAATAAAATTATACTAATCCCTCTAAATGGCTCTTTTATGTATTTCACCATAATGAATGCTATCATTACCATTTCAGTTTGTTTCTGGAAGAACAATGAATCTGAAATTAACTATCTTGGTCGAAATGACAAAAAGGAACATTCAAACAGAAACAATCCCATTTGGAGACTCAAAAGTAAATTATCTTATATTCTATCAGTGCTTCTTTGTTTGCAGTGTCTTTTACAAAAGAGACAACATCCACATCTGAAGCTACTGTGTTTTCCCCATTAAGCCTTTTAATGAAGGGGTGCAAGGGAGCAATTAGGATCTGTTGGCCTGTCAGAGCCCTATCAGAGCCATGTGGTTAACATCTCTATATCTGCAGAGTATATCCAGCACTGCAGTGAAGCTAACTGCTTGCAGCTGCCTAGGATCCAAATTGCAGCTTTTAGGTGATCATGAGATTTTAGCCACTGGCATGTTGCGTGTGCCAAATGAAAGGTTACCACTGAGAAACTCTACAGCTGTTCAATTACAGGCCTTGGACTAAAAGAGTGCAGTGAGCGTGATTTAAAGAGCTTGATAGAAAACAGAGAGATACGATTATGCAAGGCAGTAATGCACATATAATTTTGATTAACAAGTATCAAACAAGCTTTACTGCAGTATTTTTACAACATTTAACAGTAAATTAATACTGTACTAAATTATAGTGTAAATTCACACTAACATACACTGTAAGGCTAGTTAAGAAGTGTTAAAATGGCCCTAAGAGAGCTTACGCAGTTAATTAAATAATCATCTTACATGGTGACATGATGTCGTAGTGGCACTTATGTTTTACCCTAGGGGACAGAGTCTCAGATATTCATAGACTCACCCGAGCAAATGAAAAGACGTCATGTTGTTCGATATTAGGAGGTACAAGTGAATGTGAAGAGGAGGCTGGACTGACCCTCACTGTTCCTCTATACTGCAGTCAAATCTTTGTCATTCTGTTCATCCATCTGTCATCTCTGGCTCTTAGACAGGGTCATGGTCATCATAGGCTTAATGATAAAGCATGAAGCTACAGCTAAACACAATGCATGCATTTGATTGCAGCCACCACGACCTACTAACTAAAACCACAAATAAATGCTTGTCCTATTGGGGATTCATATAAATAATTATTGCGTGTCATTATACAATTCACAGACTAAATGAATGCATTAAACTTTAAAGCAACATCAAAACATTACAGAATATATTTAAAATATATAAGACAAGGCCACAGCTCCAAACACAGGTCAATATGTACTTATCTATATTTTATTTTATATTCAATTATACAGTTTCTAAGGCACCCAAATCAAATAGAAATAGTTCCCACTTTTATGACCCATGTAGAAAACAGGAAACTATCAAAAACATGCACACATAATCATCAAAACATGGGGCAAATGCTGAGGGCCACAGATTACAGTGCATAGCAGGATGCTGGCATAAATGGGCATCTTTCACAGAAGGGGATGAGAAATGAAAAAAAGCTTTTTTTTTTCCCTTCCCGATTCCTGCTGCTCAGCTGTGACCATGTTTCTCATAATAATAATAACCTTTATTTTCTATTGCGCATTTAAATGTACATCTCAAAAGCGCTGTATACAAAAACAATTAACCTTCAAATGGTCTTCGTTTCCTGTTTAAAATTCTGGGCTTCGGGGTCTATCCCAACAATTGAGTAATTGTACAAAAAATATATACATTTTTAATCATACAAATATAATATATCATTTTTTGTTTTTTCACATTTCCCATTCATTTCAATGTGGGGTCATATTGACCCCGAAGACCAGAAGTGTAAACATTTTTTTTACCCTCAGAACAACCTAATCAAGCCCAGTTTTTTTGTGTGTATAGATAGACAACACTATCTCACGACCAATTCGTACGAATTCGACGAATGATTAAAAAGTCTAATTCGTACTAATTCGTACGACCTCACTCGTACGAATTCGTACAATTTGTCTAAACCCAGATGATGGGTAGGTGATGGGCACTGCCACTCCGTTGAATCACCGATCTTGATGGCGAACTAAGTTTATTTATACGGCATCCCTGGTAAATTAGTCTGATTCACTAAAGTGCCGGCTGCAAACAAACGTGCTACCTTGTATTATTTAAAAATTTTAATCCAGTTAGTCGGGAATCCATGAAAACTTACGTAGGGTTGGCGACGTTGTTGGTTAGATTTACAATATGGAACAGAGCAGTGACATAGCCTTCGTCTCAGCCATTGTTGAACTGCGTCGGAAGTGGACATGCCCGGAAGCGTGATAATCCCTTATTAGCTATAGCCACTTTTTAATCACTCGTCGAATTCGTACGACTTGGTCGTGAGATCGGGTTCAGATAATGTAAGAAATATATATACATAATGCACATACATACATAATGTAGGAAAAGTCACAGTAAACTTGTCCTTCTTGTCCTTTACCCAAATCCTCTTTTTGGTGCATTCCATACATTTTCATATGCATCCTTGTATTTTACTGTGGTGTTAAATTATAGCTTGCTGCTCAAATCTATCTCAAATAGACAAATGTTTAATGATGGCTTTAAAACTGTTTATGAGAGAGAAAGTAACATATGAAAGTTATTATCTTAAAATGACAATTCTGTCATATAAAACTTTTTTTTTTTAATATAAAAGGGGGTTAAAGTGAATGTTCTTGGTGTAAACTGGCCTTAAACATCATTGCATGGTGATTTTCATCCCATTACTTGGGCTAAGTAGATTATTATATTATCATTTTTATTATTATTAGAAATTAAAAAATGCAAACATTCCGGTCACAGTAGCCTACTTAGTACTTCAAACTCAACATCACATATCCATTGCATGTCGTTTCCACCTGCCACCTAGAAGTGTCGCCAAAGGAACGTCAGACACACACCACTCTCTCCTCCGAAACAGGGGAGGCTGTCTGATTCAGTCAGTCAAGGTTACCTCCTGTGAAAACTCGACATGTAGTGTGAGACGGGAGTTAGTTTACTAATAACAATGATGATGGACTTTAAATAAAAATCGAATCGAATGCCTGGTAACAAATACATGTATATAGGCTTTTTTTCTATAATATTATTTTCACTACCCTACCTCATTCTGACCCTCTGTCTGAAATTTTCAGACAGAGGGTCAGAAATGATCAATTTTTAACCCTCTGGGCTTCCTAAATGGTTTACACTTAGCTTCCTCTCGGTCAAAAAATACGAAAAATTGAACTATTTTTTCCCCCATGCAGGAAAACCAATAAAATATATTTTTGTTCAATATTATTTTCTTATTATTATTTAGAAATTTTTAAGATTTTTTATATACTTTGCATTAATTATATATTTTTTATGAGCTATTTTTCCATTAGAATTAACCATTTTATTATTAATATTATTATTATTATTTTATTATTATGATTTATTTATTTTTAATAATTTTTTTTACGCACAACATTCAACCCGAAAATAGTCATATAACCATTGCAATAACTCTGAAGCTATTCTGTTGAAGGTATAAAAAAAACCTGCAGCTTCTTTAACTGTCAACAGAAGGTTCTTTGCGAACTCTCCATTACGCCTACACTGTGCCTTGTTTACAAAACATCTGTGGTTTAACTCTCAGAATAAACATATTTCCCTGACGTGATCCAGGACGCCTCGAACATTCTTTTATGCTTTATCCACTAGGCACACAGACAGCAACACAGTGTCGGCCCAGATCCGGGGCCACATCTGGTACATGTGGATTCCACGCGTACCAGATGTGGGCCGGATCTGGTGTGACACTCTGTTGCTGTCTGGGCAGCGTCAGTGATTTATAATGCATTCTATTTGCTTTTGATGCAACGCTTGCAGAGGCTGCAGTTTCAGGACCACATTTCTAGGACCCTGACAGTGCCATCTAGCCAATTTTTCTCCAACTTAGGATTAAAACTTCAAACAAAACATTCTAACATTCTTTAAAATATCTTCTTTTGTGTTTGACAGAAGAAAGAAACTTTTGAGGGTGGGTAAGTGATGACCAAATTTTCATTTTTGGGTGAACTATCCCTTTCTTTTCTGTAGCAAAAATGTTTTTGGTGATAATAAATCATTAACTTGTCAACAAGCAAAAAAACAAACAAACAGGAATTTGTCTACACACCTACTTTTCCATACTTTGTCTCACTTTAACAGGACTTTCCGAAATTTTCACGTGTTTATTTTTATGTATTATAGTTTTGTTAATGTTGAAAATGCACTTTTTTCTATTCACACTTTCTGTCTCCATGCAGAACTTGTCCTCATTTCTCCCCGCAGTCATATCGTGTAAGTGTCCAGTTCACCCTCCTCGACCTGACACAACTAACTCTAACAGGATTACGAGATCAGGCTCTGGTAGTAGGAACGTCATTAACTTATCTGTGCATGGGCACAACTCAACAAGATAAAGATCAGACAAAAGATCTGCTTAAGCTCACCTACAATACTGTACACTAACCTGCCAGCTCTGGCTAAATGAATAATGGTTTTAAACTAATTGGTTTATCCCTCATGGTGAGAAGCATGCAGTCCATTTACATGTAGTTCCTTTCTGTATATATTTTGTACATAATAAAAACACTTTGAATGTATTACAAGACATGAACACTGTATCTAATTCCACTTGATTCCACTTAATCCTAACACACCAAAGCAACATTTTTGTATCAATTGTGAAAGAAGAAAACAGTAATTAGCCTTATTTAGAGCAGACAATTGCTCAAATATGCTTGGTCTGAAAATCATAAAAGCTCAAATGTTTTCTCCCATCAAACTTAAATTTCATGCGGATGAGAGTCTACTGTACATATATAACCTATTCCCAATTATCATATAGGGTAGCTCAGCTGCACTTCTCAAATTATATCTAAACAAATCATTTAAAATTTAAAAGACACATGATGGTATAAAACTGAATATGTGGATATTCCCGAGTGTGAATCTTTGCTAAAACAATTCTCCTGTGATCTGGTGAAAACAAAGCAATACCTTATTACCAAATATCATTATGGTGATGTTGTTGGTTTTAAATGTGCATATGATCAGGGATGTAGCTGAAAAACATGCTATGCACCATTGGGACTGACAAGAATCACACTACCTACACTGAAAAAAAATAATATGCTTTATCTAATCAATAAAATTGTGGCAACATATTACAAGCAATATTATTAATTAAATTGTACGAATTAGAATTAATTAGAATGTTAATTTGATTAACTATTACTCAATTCTAATTTGTTCAATTTAATAAATAATATTGCTTGTAATTTGTTGCCACAATTTTATTGATTAGGTAAAGCAGCATTTAGTCTGATAAACTGGATTAGAACGCTGCAATAAAGCAGAGAGTTTTATGAAATAAAAGACCTACAAATTACACTTGACATGATTTTGGAGCATTTCACCCTTTGCAGCGATAACAGCTTCAACTCTTCTGGGAACGTTATCCACAAGGTTTAGGTGAGTGTTTATGGGACTTTCTGACCATTCTCCTAGAAGTGCATGTTGGAACAGGAAGGGGCCATCCCCAAACTGTTTCTACAAAGTTGGTAGCATGAAATTGTCCAAAATGTCTTGTTATGCTGAAGCATTAAGAGTTCCTTTCACTAGAACTAAGGAGCCCAACAACCCCACGCCATAACCCCCCCTCCACCAAACGTTACACTTGGCACAATACAGTCAGGAGAGTACCGTTCTCCTAGCAACCACTAAACACAGACTCGTCCGTCTGATTGCCAGACAGAGAGGCATGATTCTTCACTCCAGAGAACACGTCACCACTGCTCTAGAGTCCAGTGGCGGTGTACTTTAAACCACTGAATCCATCGCTTTGCATTGAATTAGGTGAAGTAAGGCTTGGATTAAGCTGTTCGGCCATGGAAACCCATTCCATGAAGCTCTCTGCGCACTGTTCTTGAGCTAATCTGAAGGCCTTACAAAGTACTTTGGAGGTCTGCAACTATTAACTTTGTATAAAGTCTGCGACTTCTGTGCAAGCAAGCAAGGAAGGAGGTGGCCAGTCTGGTGTCATGGTGTGGAGACAATAATCTCATTCTCAACATGGAGAAGACGAAGGAAATAGTCGACATGAGAAAGGAGAGGAGTACGCATCAGCCACTGTTCATCTGGGAGCTTGAAGTGGAGAGGGTGAGCAATTTTAAATACTTGGGTGCCCACATTAGTGAGGACCTCACTTGGAAACCACACGTCACGCAGCTGGTTAAGAAGGCCCAACAGCGGCTGTATTTTCTGAGGAGGTTGAGGAGGTTTGGCATGTCGTCAAAGATCCTCAACAACTACTACGGCTGCGTTATCGAGAGTGTCCTGACTAATTGCATCACTGTGTGGTACGGCAGCACTACTGTCATGGACCATAAACACCTACAGAGAGTGATAAAGACTGCACAGAAGGTCACCAGGACTCCATTGACCTCTTTAGAGAGCATATCACCATAGGATCGCCAGGAAAGCTGCTTCCATCCGACCCCTCCCATCCCCAGCACGGACTGTTCACAGTTCTACCCTTAGGACGGACGGAGGTATACAAGTGTGAAATGCCGGACCTCAAGACTGAAGAACTCTTTTTTCCCTTCTGCCATTAGACTCCTAAACAGCCGATAGAAGTTTGCAACCATGGTCGTTTTCTTATTTTCTATTGCTTTTATTTAGAGATTTACTAAGAATTGTTTTCTTTTGTTGTTTATTTTTATGACATTGTCTTTATTGTACAACATTTTACGTGGATGGCAAAGTAAGAATTTCATTGTACAGGGAAACATGCTTTCTGTCTGTGCATATGACAATAAACTCTTTGATCGGTTGTTCCCAATTGCTTCCACTTTGTTTTAATATGTCTATTAAAGTAATAGTAATAGTACTGTTACTAACAGTTTGCACAGGTAACAACCTATCATACCATTCTTGAATTCACTGAGAGCGTTTTTAGAATCCGTATGCATGCCTGCTTGATTTTATACTGTGGCCATGGAAGTGACTGTAACACCTGAAATCAATGATTTGGAGGGGTGTTCCAATACTTTTGCAATATAGTGTGTCGTCTGTGAATGTGTGATTCGGTCCAAATGCAATGGTACAATGTCCTACCTGCCTGTCTACATATATGTATTTCCATACCTCTGCGCACCACACATTATCAGCACGTTCTGATGCAAAGTTGTAGATAGAAAGTCACTTAACGGTGCAAACAAAAACAACAGCCGTCTTTTACAGTTCCTCCTGAACCAAAACAACGAGCTTATGCGGCATTCACACCATGTCATAACTTTACTTACGAGATGACAACCGTGACGTTCTACCTATAGGGTTGGGTATCGTTTGAATTTGAACGATTCTGATTCCGATTCCGATTCCTTGTTTCGATTCCGGTTCCTAACGATTCTCGATTCCGATTCTTTTAAGAGGCAGGGTCAAAAAAGTTTAGCTAACCATGCTAACCAACGGTCTTTCTGAAGGAAATAATCCTTTCTGAAGGAAATACTCCTTCTGTCACAAATATTCCTTTTGTCACAAATTTTGCATTTTGCCGAGATTTCGTTATTTTTAGAAAAGTGAAGCCACACTTTGGACCGCCGACGTAAGCTACTCATGTTCGACTCGCGCTGTTATACCAACACTTCCGGTAGACGCTTCTTCGTTGGTGTTGTTCAGCGGTTTCCTCTTCAGCTCGGCGGACTGTGAATATCGAAACTAGAAATTGAAATTTGAACTTTTGAACGATTCTGGGAAAAACGAAAAGTTAGTCCCGGTTCCAATCGATACTCGATTCTCGATACCCAACCCTAGTTCTACCTGAAGCTGTTCAGTTTTATTTTCTATGTAAACACTATCAACTCTGAAATAAATCTGCAGCAGTCAGTTGGGACAAGTCAAGCTCTGTAAGATGTTTATGTTCATTATTATTGTAATGTAATTTAATGCCATCCTGTGTGATGCTTTGCAGACTCTGCTGTGTGCGCTCATGTGTTTTGGAGGAGGTGTGACTTTGTAGACACTCTGAAGGTAGGGTGGGATCTCATGCTTTCAAAGCTAGCTTGCTATTGCTCGCCTTTCTGAAATTGCCTACCCTACCTTTCATATTAAAAATTATTGTAGCTTGATTTACCCTCTTGAAAGTTTATTGTATATTATCTCCCCTACTGTGAATGGTTAGGTTGGGACAGCAAATTGTGATATCAAACTGCCTAATGAGTACACTAAACTGAACAAATAATCTACTTTCTTTTATTTATATGGATTAAAATTAAATAATGATAATGCTTGCTTTTATATTATGAAGGTTTAAAAACTACATAGTGTTACTTTAATGGACCTCTTGCCAAGCTGACCTTGTTTATCTTTGAGAAAACACATTCCTGGAATTGTAGCCATTAATGTCTGTGCCTGGCCAATAGCCTTGTGTGTTCAGTGCTAGCACCATGGAGCCACATAAGGACATTTTGGCAGGATCAGAATAGTACAAGAAATTGGTCATCCTGCTGATCTCTCATAAAAATAGACCAATCCACAATCTACAACAATTCTAACAACAAAATAACTGAATTACCATATTTACTAATGTTTCCTTATTGTTCCTGGGTCTGCCATACAAAACACAATATGATTTATGGAATGTATACATTATTTGTGTATTCCATATTTTGTGTACATTTTTAAACTTTATATTAAAGACTGAACATTATTCTAGTACTAAATGTATAGTCTATCTCTCGATTTAAAAATATGATATGTATGTTGGAGCAAACATGCACAACATTCATTAAATTCATTACAAATGGAAACTGAAACAGTATTTAATGCCAGTATTTATTTCTATGTATTTCTTTTTCATTATTTACAAAATATATGTACATTTTCGGCAGAAGATATAAATGCTAGCCTTCCGGCACATAAAAATAAAACCACAATTTCAATGTTCACTGATCACCCAATAAACCCTGAGCTCTAAATTCATTTAATAGGATAGTGAACGCAACCAGAAACTAATTCAACTGTCTTTTTTTTTTTGTCTTTTTTTCAGATCCCCAAAATTGGTCAATGACTAAAAGAACACAATCTGTGAGAGGTTCAAATGTCTATGCTGGAGATACAGAGGACACCTCCGTCTTGCTGGTGGACACAGTTGAGGACTCGTCATCGCCAAGAGGATTCTTTCCACAGAAAAGAGTGGTCAGCATGCAGTTCCTGAACTGAAAAAGACAGAGTTTCATTTAGAACTTTTGGGCAGGTTATATTGCTTTTTATTGATAGCCACTAGAGAGCGGAGAGGGAGAAGAGCAGGAATGTGATGTCTGGGATATCCTGGCAAAGTCTGATATATGATTTACCTGTTTGTTTAGAAGCACATAGATGACGGGGTTATATATGGCTGAGGTCTTTGAGAAAAAGGCGGGAACAGCCATGAACTGGGCACTGAAAGCAGCTCCCTTATTAAAGAAGATCCAAGCAGCAACCGTGGCATAAGGGGTCCAAGCCAACAAGAAACCAAAAACCATCAGGATGACCATTTTTGTCACTTCCCTCTCAGCTTTCTGGGTGGATGCTGAGTCCTGCTGTTGAGCTGCAGCCTAAGAGAGCAAAACAGACCATGTTTAATATAATATTCCAATAGTTGAGAATTTGCAGCAATGTTTAAAGAGACATTTCATACCGCCTTGACGGTGCAAACAAGCCGCCCATAGGTGAAGAAGATTACGGTAACCGGAAGTATAAAATGGCAGGAGAACATGTAGAGAACGTATGATTCATTGTTGTATCCAGGACTCAGAGTGTAGTAGTCTGGTCCACATGAACACTGCATTCCCTCAGGAATATATCTGTTAAAGAAAAACACTTGATGTTAAGAAAACTTAAATTAGAGTAGTCTATTGGACTTTTTTGTTGGATTTGAAAAAGACAGTACAAACTATGCAAAAAAATTTGCATCAAAACTCAATGTGAGTGTTACACTGGGACAAGCCTTATTTTGCTTTGTACATTGAAAGTAAGCATTCCTGTGTATTGATAAACAAATTGTGTTCAAGAAAATTGAAAATGCCCTTGTTCAACTGAAATGTATTGTTGTTATAATCACTGCACTGGAGAACAAATTATTTGGATAATGTCTGATTAGACCAACCTGGACCAGCCAACCAGAGGGGGAGCCGCACATGCCATGGCCATTACCCATGTAAATGCTATTCCTGACAAAGCGTGGGTGCTTGAGAATTTGAAACTACCCATTGGCTTGCAAACCACAATGTATCTCTCGATGGCCAGCACCACAAGTGACCAAAGGGCAACTTCACCTGTGTGGCAAGTGAAATATACAATTAATTTACACCCTACATTTACAGCTAAACCTACTTTTAACATTCGCCCAAGTAATTCCTTAGAGCATTCAAAGTAAAAGTAAAAAAAAAAAAAAAAAAAAACTTCTCACCTCCAAGTGTGGCCATGAAGCCCTCAACGGCGCAGGCAGTTGGACCCAGAGCAAAGTAGCCGTGAATTGCTGTGTAGAAAGTGACCGTGAATCCAAAACAAACCATGATGGTGCCGGCCACAGCCAGGTTAACCAAAATGAAGTTGAGAGGTTGCCTGAGCTTTTTGTGTTGAGCTGTAACCAGCAAGGTAAGGACATTGATGGGAAAACCCAAGCAGATGAGGAAGAACATGTAAACAGCAAGCAGTTTAAATTGCCACGGCTCAGCAAGATAATACTGTGGATATTCGAAAGGATTCCTCGCTAGCCCTGTCCTGTTGGACATGGGGATGTAGAAGTTGTTTCCCTCAGTGCCATTCATCTTTGCCAACTAGTGACCCAGACCTGGAAGAGGATGCGATCTGCTGTGTTGGATCTGCTCTTTATTTGCAAAAGTGCATCAGGTGAGTTTATATATCCCTCTGTGGTTCCTTATAAGGGATAAATCCAGGAGCGTAAGATAGGGAGGGTGTTTCAATGTGGGATTTGATTGAGAAGAGCAGACATAATCACTTTTGGGTTAATCAACTGATGAAGCTTTGGATCTTTAAGTTCTTTCACCTTTTTAGGACCTTAAATTAGGGCATGATATTGATCAACAGTACAAAGTGAGTAAAAGAAAGCTTTATTTATTTTATGGAAAATATATATCAAATGAGATCATTTTCTGATGTAGTTCAGTAGTGATAGTAACACAATAACACATTAAAATAACAAAATGTCACCTCGGATGTGCGTTTTATTTCAATATAACAATTTTAACCTGTCACATTTGTGGCCAGTGTTGCTAATGGGGCTTGGGTTGGGTCGACGACGTGCATGTGTACCCCCAAAATCAAACACCCACCCCATAATGTTTTACGTCACTCTCATTTGCAGTATTAAAAACTATAGCATATAAGATGTTTATAATTTAAATGTATTTGAAATCATGCATGCTGCGATCGGTTATGCGCTCGTATTTCTACAGAACCAGAGGTGCATGAGAAAGTCTTGTCTTTACCCACCCAGTTTAAATGTAAACGATATGGGCGCTGCGGAAATCCGCTTAGTGATTGTAGTAGGCTGAGTGAAGAACGAATTAAGGTGTCTAACACTAAGCTATAATGTGGCTTAAGAAAAAAGTGAAATAGAAGGCACGAGTCATGGTGGAGCCTGACTGTAGTGAAAGGATATAGCCAAACACACTCACATTTTTAATTTTTTATATATATATATATATATATTAATTCTATTCTGTGGGAGCGAGAGAGACAGGTAGGACAGAAAGAGACGGGTGGACCACGAGGCTTTGAACTCGGATCACACGAAACAATTGCACAGCGTGACGGAGCGATGAGACTGTCCAGCCCGATCTCATGAAAGTTCGTGTCTATGGCACGCGTATAATACGCACGAACTCCCCACCCCCCCTCCCCCCTAAACCTAACCCAGGGTTTTTTAGTGCGTACCATATACACGAAAAAAACACTTTTGGCGTATAAATGCCACGAGAAATGACACTCGTGGTATAGATACGCATCTTCATGAGACTGTGTTGGACTGTCGGGTCAGACACCCGCCTAAACACTTTATGGATTAGTAATGAGCAACGTGAATATTTTGTCTTCCACTGAGCAAAATTATACAGGGTGAGTAGGCTAAAATAATGACAATCTGAGTGCAGTCTATTTATTAAAATTTTTATTAAAAGTATTTATAAAAGCCTCATAAAGTAAACGTTTCCATAATTTTCGAATATCAAAACGATGAAATAACACAAGCTATAAAAGCTATAAAAAACACAACTGGTATAATAGGCTATGTAGGCTATTAAACAAAAATATTAAACAAATACTTGATCTTTAGCAGCTCTGCACTCTGAACATTCTCTCTCAACCAACTTCATACGTGCATCCTTGGATGATTTTTATGAATATGTAGGCAGGCTTCAAATTTTGTAACATATTTCTTTGTGAGACTGAGATAGCAGATGGCAGTTGCTTTCGTGAATGATGAGTTAGGTTAGGAAGAAAAATCATAAGGCTACATCAAGTCTTTTATGGGTTATTTTGCTCAAGTTAATATGAGTCTGTGACTGTTTTGTCAACCGGACCAACTGAGGCATAAATTATCTAAAATGTCAACGCAAAACATCTAAAAGAATTACAAAATATAATAATATATTTATTAATTTTGATTTTGGTGTGAAATAGAGACTGAAATAATAGGTAGACTATGAGCGATAGCTCCACAGCTCAAAGCGCTTTACGCAACAGTGGCTAATCAGATCAAAACAATAAACATCAAACACCTCACAATTTTCAGAAAAGTCAAAGTCGAAAGTCAAATCGCATTCCGAGTGAATATGGAGCAGCATGTGTCCGACCCAAAAGTCCAAAACAAATTCAGTAAAGATAAACTAAGAAATGCGTTGCAAAGTGGATACATTCTCGTCGACTCGCATCTCCCATGCCATCGCCGAGCCAACTCCAGGACCCCAAACGGGAACACACGAGCAGCACCACCACACCGGCACAGATGCAACCGCTCCGTCCGCAGCAACCGCGCAGCAAACACCAACAGGCAGTCAGGCAGGCTGGAGTCAGGTGGGCAGATGAAACAAAGCAGCAGACATGGAATGAAGCTGACCGCGAACACAAATGAAAGTTCGTCGAGATCCAAAAATGTCAGTTTTATGAGTATGAAACGTTTAAAACAGAAAATTTACAAAATACAATCACATGCAGCTTCAAGTGGTAGCCAAACGCGCGCAGCACTCAGTGACCGGATGTTGTCCTCATACAGTTGAGCTGAAGAATTTGTCAGCCAAACTAACTGGAAACTGTATTAAGGCATATCTAAATCAAACAGCAAATTATCCGAAATTAAATTGCCCTATAAAAGATCGTGAGCATGGATTTCCCAATTGCATTCTTGTGGAATTGCTGCATGACTGATTCTCAAATTTACCTAAAGAGCAATGCGATGCATAAACTGAGCCAACAAATTATTATAGGGACTATTAATAAATAATAATAAACTTTTTACCCTTCTTGGGTTCTACAAAGTAATTTGATTGACAATAACATAAACCATTGCCAAGACGCTGTTGACCTGTTTCCTCTAGCCTACTTTGCATACTTGGAGTTGTATTTGCTTATGCCTGCTCTTGTACCTGGCCAATAGTCTGAGCATCATGCAGGTCACATTAAGACCTTTAGGCAGAGACTGGACTGGAGTCAGAATGGTTAGATAACGGCTGGTTTTGCAGGGTCAGATCAACCTGAATATTCTGGGTAAAGTTTGTGGGTAACATACTTTAGTTTAGGCTTCAATTCTCACTATCAGTCCGTTGGTTATTAACATATGATATTGGCTGTTCATTAGTCCTTATAAAGCATATTAATTCCTTATTCTGCACCACCATGTTCTAAATCTCTTAATCCTATACCCAATATCTAAACTTAACACCTACCTTAGCTATCAGTAGTTTGTTAAGGCAAATGTTGTAGCCTATTTAATAGTGATAATTGGACCCGAAAACAAAAAAATTGTTTTAATCAACAGCATTTGTGGCATAACATTGATTACCCAAAAGAAATCTTCTTTCTTTTCATAAAAAGTATATTCTGAAATTATGACTAGACGTTTGCTTTGACCAAACCCCATTCTTACTTGACACTATAGCAAAATGTACATAAGTAGGTCTACTAATTACTGCTTCACACTTTGTCTGCCATACAAAACACAATATAGTCAGGGAAATATACATTTTCTATATTACAAAGTTTTGGAAACTTATATAAAATACTCAATTAGCCAATAAATGGTTGATTAAACATTGGAGACTTTAAAAGAGCTCAGTCTCTACAATATATTCCAAACATATATCTGGCCTTAATGTTGAGTTTAATGTAGGGTGGATTGGATTGGATATTAACACTATGTGGGTTGTATGTCTTAATTTAAAACAGTGTGTACTAGCTATATTAATGCTAAATTATGGTAAACTAATTTCAGTTTCAGTATCATACAAAATGTGCAAACAACCCAAAATGAAATCAATTGATAAATAATGGAAACGAAGACACCTCTTTTAATGCCAGAATTTATTTCTATCCTTTTTTATTATTTACAAAATATGTACACATTTCAGGACAAAGATATAAATGTTAGCCTTCCAGTTAATAAAAAATAACCACTGATAACCCATTAAATCCCATTAAAGGGTTATTCACCCAAAAAGGAAAATTATCCCACAATTTACTCACACTCAAGCCATCCTAGGTGTAGGCCTACAGTATATGAGTTTTTTTCTTTTTTCTATATTAAAAAATATCCTGCCTTTTCCAAGCTATATAATGGAAGCGAGTATCGCCAGATATTTTTAAGATTTATCCATGGCTCCAGGGGGTTAATAAAGGCCTTCTGTATGATGAAATATACCTAATTGTGTTGGCTGAAAGAAGAATATACACCTAGGATGGCTTGAGGGAGAGTAAATTATGGGATAATTTTCATTTTTTGAACTATCCCTTTACGCCTTTTACTTATTTGTGAACACAACCTTATGAGACGCATCACCTAATTCAGCTTGTTTTTTTTTTTTTTTTTTTTTTTTCTTTTAAGTCTATGCTGGAGATACAGAGGACACCTCCGTCTTGCTGGTGGACACAGTTGAGGACTCGTCATCACCAAGAGGATTCTTTCCACAGAAAAGAGTGGTCAGCATGCAGTTCCTGAACTGAAAAAGACAGAGTTTCGTTCAGTACACTTTTGTGGACATGTTTAATAACTGAGGGAGTAGATAGGGAATGGGGTGTGTAGGATGTTAATTTCCATTGAAGCTAGTCTGATATATGATTTACCTGTTTGTTTAGTAGCACATAAATTATAGGATTAAATATGGCTGAGCTCTTTGAGAAAAAGGCGGGAACAGCCATGAACTGGGCACTGAAAGCAGCTCCCCTATTAAAGAAGATCCAAGCAGCAACAGAGGCATACGGGGTCCAAGCCACCAGGAAACCCAAAACCATCAGGATGACCATTTTTGTCACTTCCCTCTCAGCTTTCTGGGTGGATGCTGAGTCCTGCTGTTGAGCTGCAGCCTAAGAGAGCAAAACAGACCATGTTTAATACAGCTAATATTCCAATAGTTGAGAATTTGCAGCAATGTTTAAAGAGACATTTCATACCGCCTTGACGGTGCAAACAAGCCGCCCATAGGTGAAGAAGATTATGGTAACCGGTGTTATAAAATGGCAGGTGAACATGTAGAAAACGTATGATTCATTGTTGTATTCAGGACTCAGAGTGTAGTAGTCTGGTCCACATGAACACTGCATTCCCTCAGGAATATATCTGTTAAAGAAAGTCACTTGAAATTTAGATTACCCTCTTCTTGTTTAAAATGTCAAGAGAATGTCATTTATGCCAAAATGTGTTGAGTTGGGAAAAGTACATTTCACCTCTTAAAAGTAAGCTAAAATTCTTGTATATTAATAAAATGAAATAAAAAGTCTCATATTCAGCTGAAATGTTTGTTGTTCTCACTTCTACAAGACAATGGAGAACTAATTAATTGCATAATGTCTGATTAGACCAACCTGGACCAGCCAACCAGAGGGGGAGCCGCACATGTCATAGCCATTACCCATGTAAATCCAATTCCTGACAAAGCGTGGGTGGTTGAGAATTTGAAACTACCCATTGGCTTGCAAACCACAATGTATCTCTCGATGGCCAGCACCACAAGTGACCAAAGGGCAACTTGTCCTGTGTAGCAAATAAAAAATAACAATCAATTGCACCCAAAATACAGTATTGCTAACTAGCTAACCAAACCAATCCAAAAACATTTTCTATAATTATTTCATAATTAATTTCATAATTATTTTCTCTCACCTCCAAGTGTGGCCATGAAGCCCTCAATGGCGCAGGCAGTTGGACCCAGAGCAAAGTAGCCGTGAATTGCTGTGTAGAAAGTGACCGTGAATCCAAAACAAACCATGATGGTGCCGGCCACAGCCAGGTTAACCAAAATGAAGTTGAGAGGTTGCCTGAGCTTTTTGTGTTGAGCTGTAACCAGCAAGGTAAGGACATTGATGGGAAAACCCAAGCAGATGAGGAAGAACATGTAAACAGCAAGCAGTTTAAATTGCCACGGCTCAGCAAGATAATACTGTGGATATTCGAAAGGACTCCTCGCTAGCCCTGTCCTGTTGGACATGGGGATGTAGAAGTTGTTTCCCTCAGTGCCATTCATCTTTGCCAACTAGTGACCCAGACCTGGAAGAGGATGCGATCTGCTTTTGAATCTGCTCTTTATTTGCAAAGGTGCATCAGGTGAGTTTATATATCCCTCTGTGGTTCCTTATAAGGGATAAATCCAGGAGCGTAAGATAGGGAGGGTGTTACATTGTGGGATTTGGATGATAAGAGCAGACATAATCACTGTTGTGTTAATCACCCGGTGAGCTTTTGGATCTTGACTCTATTTTGATGTTTGAGATTCTTGTATTAAAAACAATATATTGTTTGTCAGTACAGAGTGAGTATACACAACACTGTATTTAATTTTTAAAAAAATGTGATTGTTGTATGAAGTTTGTTATTTATTATACACAATATACACTTGTTTCCTTATTAGGGACAATAACACACTTAAAGGGGATTTCCTGTCAGATTAAGATATTTATTAAGATAAAATCCCATAATTTTATGTTAGTTTATCGTGAAGGTTAGAGTCCTAAAGGTCTAATAGTTTTGCTAAGCACTTGTTCTGTGGCATCTTGTATTACAAAGTTCACGACAATGAGGTTGATGGATGATTAATTCAAAGATTACTTGGATTAATTTCAATTAAAAGTCACTCCAATGTATCCTTTTTTTCTCAAAATGTTGGAATAAATACTATTAAAAAGGTAATTGTTTCAAATAAGACGAAGGGTTTACAAACAATGGAGAATGTAGTTTTCATTTATTTTCTTGAATATATATATATATTATTCTTATATTTTTTCATTCATTTCTGATTTCACATTTCACACATCTGAGGTCATCATTTAGCATATGCATTTCATTCAAATCGCAAAACAGAATATAAATCATTAAATGAATCGCAAGCTCCACATCTAATCCAGTTGAATTTAATGCCATGTTTTAGATTTAGTTCGAGTTCATGTCAATGTGCAGCTTTATGTTTGTAGATCTTAACATGGTTACCATCAGTCATCAAATAGACACACACAAATCACCAAAAACAATGTTTGCATGCATGTATTTATTATTCTACTTTTCAATATGTATAACATTTAGAAAATATATACACAAAAAGCTGACAAATCAGCCAAAAATAATGAAATGAATAGAATAGTGCATCGTGTCATTGACTTCTGTATATGTATATCCTGTATATACTGTTATGCTTCTCACTTAACCTTGGTTTAACCAGTTCTGGCCATGACCCTCTGATGTGATAATGTCCAGAAAAGAGGCTTATGCTAAGATTTAGTGGTGACCTATACTTTGTGTTGAAGCATTGGTTGAGAGACATGAGATAACCCATAAGTTGGTGCAAACTAATCTACCCATGCTCTTTTTATTGAAGAGAATAGAGGCTAAATGTGGCATGTATCTAGTCCGCATTGACAAAGTAGGGTCAGGTTAAAAGTCTTCTTTAAACTAAAATGTTCCAAGGCAGAGAGAGAGAGAGAAGAGGTACATGGCCCAATAGGATTATAAGTACAGAGATTTTCAAAGCATTACAGAAACTGATCCATGGAGGCTTATGCTTGTTGAAGACAGTGGACTCAAAAACATTAAAAGAATCATCGAGAAAATGTAGTTGGCAAATAATCCTATGCCGGAGACACTGAGGACACCTCCGTTTTGCTCGTCGACACCGAGGACTCCTCATCACCAAGAGGGCTCTTGCCACAGAAAAGGGTGTTCAGCATGCAGCTACGGAACTGAGGATTAGAAAGAGGAATAATGCTAGAATTGAAATAGCAATTTCATTCCATTTACGTCTTCATAGTGCAGGCATACTATCTCATGGTTAACACAATGGTCTCAGGCTAAAAGAATGGTTTGTCATTTATTCATTTATGGATAAAAGCATGCCTACTTAAAAGTCCAATGTCGCTCACCTGTTTGTTGAGAAGCACATATATGATGGGGTTAAACAAGGCCGAGGACTTAGAAAAAAAGGCAGGAATAGCCATAGATTGTGCCGAGAAGGCAGCCCCCCTGTTCAAAAAGATCCAGGCAGCAAAGCTAGCATAGGGAACCCAAGCAAACAAGAAGCCCAAAACCATCAGCACGACCATACGTGTCACTTCCTTCTCAGCTTTCTGGGTGGACGCTGAGTCCTGCTGTTGAGCTGCTGCCTGAAAGAATAATATGTGACATTTTTTGAAATTATTTCAATGTATTTAAAAGTCAATACATATTGCAAGGATGTGTGGTGTGATGTGCACTCACCGCTTTGACTGTGCAAACAAGGTTTCCATAAGTGAAAAAGATGGTTGTAACTGGAATGCAAAAATGACAGCTGAACATGTAAATGACATAGGATTCATTGTTGAATTCTGGGTTCAGGGTGTAATAATCCGGTCCACAGGAAATTTGCATTCCCTCTGGGATGTATCTGTATTGAAACAATGATTTACAAATAATTTAGTTGACATCAATCAAATGGTTCAACATTATATACTGTTTGTTAATAACTATGAAAGTTAATGTAAGAATTTTTGTATTACTATTTGAGCCTTAATCTCCTTTCCACTGATTACAAGTCTCTAATGAGCATGAGCGACTTACCTGGACCAGCCCAAGAGTGGGGGCACTGCACAGCTACTGGCCATAACCCATGTGAAAACGATGCCTGTTATTGCATGGTTTGAGGAGAATTTGAAGCTCCCCATTGGCTTGCAGACCACGATGTACCTTTCAACTGCAAGCACCACCAGAGACCAAAGAGAAACCTGGCCTGTATCCAAAAAGAAAACGAGTCAAACATGGAATCCCAAGCAACAAACCATATTGATCAATGCTGAAATCTTACCCCCGATTGTAGCAAAGAAGCCTTCAATAGCACAACCTGTGGGACCCAGAGCCATGTAACCAGCCATGGAGCAGTAGAATGTAACCGTGAATCCAAAAAGGGCCATAATTGTTCCAGCTAAAGCCAGGTTTACCAAAATAAAATTTAGAGGTTGCCTCAACTTTTTGTGCTGGGCTGTGACCAACAGTGTCAGCACATTGATCGGTAGCCCAAAGCAAATCAGCAAAAACATATAAAAACCAAGTGCCTTAAATTGCCATGGATCTGCCAGGTAATACTGCGTATATTCATAAGGATTCCTCACTAGTCCTGTCCTGTTGGACATGGGAATGTAAAAGTTGTTTCCCTCAGTGCCGTTCATCCTGCTGCGGAGGAGCCGAGAGCAGAGGTGTTGCAAGTTTGCCAAGAGGACACCAGCAAAAGTGTACTCCACAAATACTTCCAGACACCTGCTTTTATACCTTTAGCAGAGTTCCCATTTAAAAGAGGTGTCACCATTAAGAAGATTTGGCGGACACTAGACTTCATAACCAACTGGAAGGCATCTACTTGGCTCATTACCAGGAGTGATATGATATCCATCCCCTCTCCTGAGGATTAGGTTTCAAATCTTTGACCGTGTAATCTTTCTCGTAAGTAGGAGGCTGACAGGGATTATCTGTGGGCTGCATACAGCACTCAGATTTTCACATGCCCCTATATGCAAACCACTCGAATCCTGGACGTCTTTGAACACCACAGTCAAGAGTAAACAGGAATAACAACTATTGACATTGGAAAGAATTGACTTTGACAATGAAGAATCAAACAATTGATCTATGACTGCAGTGATGCTAAGAGCATAGTCTTTATTTTTGAAATAACCGACTGGATTTTGTTTCTGAATTACTAAACGAGGGAGAACTAAGTATTAATCTACTTGCATTTATTTTATACCTATGCATAAGTTGTGGAAACTGTTTTAAAGCAGTTTATGAGCAAGTGCACAAATAGCATGAAGCTTATTCTTCATGAAAACTTTAGGAAAATATCTATGTATTTAGTAAATATTAAGGAAAGAAAAAGGAAGCAAACTATAAGTACATATATATATATATATATATATATATATATATATGAAGAGCTTGTATATATCAAGCTAGTATATTTAGGTTAAATTACAATTAATACGTAATCTTCATTGCCATTTAAGTGAAATTACTGAACTTAAATATACAAGCTTGATAAAAAATGATCATTATAGAAGAAAATTTCAAATGGCACTTCAAATGCATCTGAACTCTTCATATATATATATATATATATATATATATATATATATATATATACTCTTTCATGAAGAACCTTTAACATCCGTGGAATCTTTCTATTGCACAAAAGTTTTTTTTTATAGTGGAAAAGAGGTTCTTTAGATTATTAAAATGCGCTTCACAATTAGAAAAATATGGAACTGATCACTGAAAGGTTGATATATCTTCATTATAAAGGGCAGAATATATATTTTCTTTAAATATATGAGTTCTTTAAAAAAAAGTAACCAGTTAAAACAAGGACAATAAACAATAACACAAATTTTGAATGCATGCTTTTATTTAAATATACTAATCAGTTTATAAAATATTTACAGAAACTGACCTGATCAAGCCAGAAAAGTTCATGAAGTACAGACAATAGAATGACAATATATATATATATATATATATATATATATATATATATGACCTCATTCAGAACACAGAACAGAAATGATATTGGTACATGGGTAGACAGGATATTGTGCAAAACACTTTGCATGCGAGTTCAAATATGTTTTATTGAAAGAAAATCCACCAAATTAGAGGAGTAGATTAATCCATCCATCCAGTAAATAACATTTTTCTTTAACTTTAGAACCAGTCATTCTTGAATGATATTGATTAAATGCCATAAAATGGATGTGTATGGTCTTGAAAATTGCCCATTTAGCCATTTGGTCAGCGATACGCTGCATGTCTGTGAACTCATTCCATTTGTATGATGGTGCGCAGAGTAAGCAGATAGGAGGATTAATCTATGCCGGAGACACTGAAGACACCTCTGTTTTGCTTGTCGACACCGAGGACTCCTCATCACCAAGAGGGCTCTTGCCACAGAAAAGGGTGTTCAGCATGCAGCTACGGAACTGTGAATGAGAAGGGAAAGTGAATTCATTCCATATTTAAAGTGCAAAGGGAATCCTTAGGTCATACATTACACAACATCAACATATTTTAATACTCTAAACTTCTTTTTACTTTTTAAATGTGGAATATGCTGTGAAAACATAACTTTAGAAACATGTTGTAAAATAACATTACTCGCCTGTTTATTGAGAAGCACATATATGATGGGGTTAAACAAGGCTGAAGTCTTGGAGAAAAAGGCAGGAACAGCCATAGCTTGGGCCGAGAAGGCAGCCCCCCTGTTGAAAAAGATCCAGGCAGCAAAGCTAGCATAGGGAACCCAAGCTAACAAGAAGCCCAAAACCATCATGATGACCATACGTGTCACTTCCTTCTCAGCTTTCTGGGTGGACGCTGAGTCCTGCTGTTGAGCTGCTGCCTGAAATTTTTGAAGAACCAGTTAGGGATGTAGTGTGACCATCTAGTATATGTGGAAACTATTTTCAAGCATTGATGATTTAAATGTATACATACAGCCTTGACTGTGCAGACCAGATTGCCATAGGTAAAGAAAATTGTGGTTACAGGTATACAAAAATGGCAGCTGAACATGTACAAGACGTAAGATTCATTGTTGTATTCAGGATTCAACGTGTAGTAATCTGGTCCACATGAAGTCTGCATCCCCTCTGGAATATACCTGAAAGAACAGCACTGATACTAAGCAACAGTAAGCAGATCAAAATGTCAAAGTCATTCTGCAAACTGTTTCAGTGCAATTACCTGGACCAGCCCAAGAGTGGGGGCACTGCACAGCTACTGGCCATAATCCACGTGAAAGCAATGCCTGCTACCGCATGGTTTGAAGAAAATTTGAAACTCCCCATTGGCTTGCACACCACGATGTACCTTTCAACTGCAAGCACCACCAGAGACCAAAGAGAGACTTGACCTATTGACAGGAATTAGAAGTTAGTCCACTGGAATGCACCGTTTTAAAAAGGAATCCAAATGGATTGTCAGTCATCCCTTACCTCCAATTGTTGCGAAAAAACCCTCCATTACGCAGCCAAGCGGACCTAGAGCCATGTAGCCCACAAATGAGCAGTAGAAAGAAACTGTAAATCCAAAGATGGCCATAATTGTGCCGGCAAAAGCCAAGTTGACCAAAATGTAGTTGAGTGGCTGCCGAAGTTTCTTGTGTTGAGCTGTAACCACCAAGGTTAGAACATTGATGGGTAATCCAAAAATGATCAGTAGAAACATGTAGAAAGACAGAGCCTTGTATTTCCATGGTTCTGCTAAATAGTACTGGGTGTACTCAAAAGGATTTCTCACAAGCCCAGTCCTATTGGACATGGGAATGTAGAAATTACTCCCTTCTGTCCCATTCATTCTGCCCTTGTTTAAATTAGATCTAAAGTTAAGATATGAACAGCAGCTAACTCAAGAGATGGTCAGCCCCAAGTGGACAGCAACAGGCATGCTTATATACTCTTCCAAGGAGGCCAAAACTGGAACCGGGTGTTACCAAAAAGATTTATTTGGCTGAGCTCAAAGTTCATAACAACCTCAGATTGAACCTCGGGGCTTGTCCCTCCCTTTAAGCATGATATCCATCTCTTCCTACAAGGATTAGTTTTTAGCTTTGCACAACTCTTAAGCAGCATCTTAAGCCAGGTAAGCTGAAAGTCCAAGTGTGCTCACAATTCTTCATCTCAATCCTGTGACCTTGTCACCTCAAGCATTCATACACTACAAGTTCCTTGAATGCCTTTAAGAATGGCTTCATGAACTGACATGTAAATTGATTTATTAATTAATAGTTTGTTTGCCAACATGCAATTATCCAGTTGGGAAAATAAGTATAAGAGGATTTTAGAGAAGATAGAATTGCAGGCATTATTTTTTGGTCTTCTTTGAAGCCAACTAAAACCAAATTACTGTGTATGCTATCTTAAAATATTAAGAGAAAGAAAACAAGAGTTCAATGTTCTTTTTGCAAGCATGCATTTATTTATTTATACAGCTATTTAATACAAGTATCCAAAGAATATTTACATAACAATGTGTGTATGTGATAAATGTGCATATGAACAGAAAAATAAAACTTTTTAAGATCCATCAGAATAAAGTTGTGGAGTTCTAGAATTGGGAACGGATGTTTGCTTTTAAAACTGTAAAAATTCTTAAAAAATATGAATACATGCAAATAAATCAATCTATATATTTGACAAAATGTTTGGTGGTTTTTATAATTGCTTTTTTTTTTTTTGTTAAGATGGGGAAAAATAATCCAACCAAGCCGTTGATTCCAACAATGATGAGCAGAGTTGGTGAGTTTAAGTTTGAAATCATTGAAGAGAACGAACAGATAAATATCCACATGCTTCATAAATACAACTTGACAAGACCAATCTTCATTGTTTCAGCAGGACTTTTTGCAGAGGCAGAGAGGCGCGTTTATGCTGGAGAAACTGAGGACACTTCTGTTTTACTGGTGGACACGGTTGAAGACTCCTCATCTCCAAGAGGATTCTTTCCACAAAAGAGGGTGGTTAACATGCAGCTACGGAACTGAAAAGAAACATAGAATCATTCATGAGCACATGAACATAAAATGATTCCAGGCTTCAGCTAAGACATAATTTAAGAGCATGTACCTGTTTGTTGAGCAGCACGTATATGATGGGATTAAACAATGCAGAGCTTTTGGAAAAAAAGGAAGGAATTGCAAAGCCTTGTGCCGAGAAGGCAGCGCCTCGGTTTAAAAAGATCCAGCCAGCAAAGCTAGCATAGGGAACCCAAGCAACCAAGAAGCCTAAAACCATCATGATGACCATACGTGTCACTTCCTTCTCAGCTTTCTGGGTGGACGCTGAGTCCTGCTGTTGAGCTGCGGCCTAAAGATTGGATGAAAACACGAATAGTGATACATTAATGTTCATGACAGAATTGAAATGTAAATGGACTAAGCAAACTTACAGCTTTGACCGTGCAGACAAGACTTCCATAGCTGAAGAAGATTGTAGTGACAGGTATACAAAAATGGCAAGTGAACATGTAGATGAGATATGATTCATTATTGTACAATGGATTAAGGGTGTAGTAATCTGGTCCACATGATGTCTGGATACCTTCAGGGATATATCTGCGTTAAAAAAAAAATGTTAGAAGATTTTAGCTCATTTACGTTTCCCAAAGTAATCACAATATTAACTCCCATTAGTAATCACAATAAGAAACCTCCTGTGGGTTACAATAGTTGGATTAAAGAGATTTACCTGGACCAGCCTAAAAGTGGGGGCACAGCACAACTGCTGGCCATGATCCATGTGAAAATAATGCCCGCCAAAGCGTGGTTTGAAGAAAACTTGAAGCTTCCCATTGGCTTACACACAACAATGTACCTCTCAACAGCGAGCACCACCAGAGACCAAAGAGAGACTTGACCTGTTAGTACAGGACGAGAGAGTAAATTTAACAGTATATCACAGTTCTTGGGACCAAATTGGTTTTCTTTGCTTCTTACCGCCAAGAGTTGCAAAAAATCCCTCTACCATGCAACCAATGGGCCCGACTGCCATATAGCCAACGCATGAGGAGTAGAAAGAAACCGTGAATCCAAAAAGGCCCATAATTGTGCCGGCAAGAGCCAAGTTGACCAAAATGTAGTTGAGCGGCTGTCTGAGTTTCTTGTGTTGAGCTGTAACCAGCAATGTGAGCCCGTTGATAGGTAAACCGAAAATGATCAGTAAAAACATGTAGAAACCCAAAGCCTTGAATTTCCATGGTTCTGCTAAATAGTACTGGGTGTACTCAAAAGGATTCCTGACGAGCCCAGTCCTATTGGACATTGGGATGTAAAAACTATCACCCTCTGTGCCATTCATCCTCAAACTTGATCCTCAAGTTTAAACTTGAACCAGAAGAGTCCAGTATGACAAGTTAAGCTACAACACTCATCTGCGTCCTTATATACTTTTCCCAGGTGAAACATTTGGCTATGAGGAGGGCTTTCCAGTGGCCAATAAGGAGATTTGTCTACCTTCTTAAAAAAAGTTATGACCTTACCTCCTGTTAAACCTTCTTTTTTAATATGATATCTATCACCTCCTGCTCAGATTAGTTGGAAGGATTAGAAAGATTCTAAGTGGCCCTCTGACCAAGCATAGCATACTCATCTGATAATACGCTGTCTTATGTCATGATCCTGTTCAAGACCAAACACAGTTCAGTTCAACCTAATGATTGATTTTAAATGTTTTCTTCTCTTTCCAAAAAGTTGAAAATGTTACTATTTCACAGAAAAATAATTGTATCACACAGCCGTTCAAAGAAATTCATCACTGTTCTTTATACCACTCTTTGCGGCACCATTTTTTGAATGAGGTACCACTTTGTTTTAACAGTTTCTCTGCACAAAACGACATGCCGAATATATAAAGTTTGGGTCTATAAAAACGGCTTAAGGTGCCTATGTCTAAACCACAAACCTGCTTGATTTGCATTTTGAAATCCTAAAATCAAAACGTAGCTTAGAAGCTACGCCCACACAATTTTTGCTTTACGTCCACACTGAGACAGTGTGTTTTTTAAAGAAGCTCTCCTAAGCGGATGAAAAATTGAAAACACTGTTTTCCCGTTGACTGTGAAAACTAGGGTTTTCGAAAACACACATTAAGGCTGTATCAAAATAGCTATACAAATAAATCATTACAGACTTAAAAATTCAAGCAAATTAACAATCATTTACAAGCTCTACCTCTCATTTCAACCAGATGATCCCACACTAGCTGTATGGATCACAAGCTGTCTGGTAGACATCTCGGCATGGATGAAGGAATATCACCTGCAGCTCAACCTGGCTAAGACTGAGCTTCTCATCTTGCCTGCCAATTCATCTCTACAGCACGACTTCACTATCCAGCTAGATTCTTCCTCAATTACCCCATCAAGGTCAGTCAGAAATCTTAGAGTAATCTTTGATGATCAGCTGACCTTCACAGACCACATTACAAAGACAGTTCGATCATGCAGGTTTGTTATGCACAACATCAGGAAGATCAGGCCTTTTCAAACTGAGCATGCAACACAACTTCTCGTCCAGGCCCATCTAAAGTTTGCCAATCACCATCTGGATTATCCAGAGGAGCAATGGAGACGGCCATGTGGTCTGATGAGACAAAAATACAGCTTTTTGGTCTAAACTCCACTCGCCGTATTTGGAGGAAGAAGGATTAGTAAAACCCCAAGAACCATCCCAACCGTGAAGCATGGAGGTGGAAACATCATTCTTTGGGGAAGCTTTTCTGCAAAGGGCAGACTGGACCATATTGAGGGGAGGATGGATGGGGCCATGTATCCTGAGATCTTGGTCAACAACCTCCTTCCCTCAGTTAGAGATTTGAAGATGGGTCGTGGCTGGGTCTTCCAGCATTGACACCAACCCAAAACACACAGCCAGGGCTACTAAGGAGTGGCTCGGTAAGAAGCATTTCGAGGTCCTGGAGTGGCCTAGCCATTCTCCAGACCTGAACCCAATAGGTAATGTTTGGAGGGAGCTGAAAGTCCGAATTGCCCAGAGACAGCCCCAAAACGTGAAGGTCTGTATGGAGAAGTGGGCCAAAACCACTGCAGTTTGTGCTGGTAAAGAACTACAGGAAACGAATGATCTCTGTAATTGCAAACAAAGGTTTCTGTACCAAATATTTATGTCTGCTTTTCTGATGTCTCAAATACTTATGTCATGCAATGAAATGCAAATTAATTACTTTAAATTATACAATGTGATTTTCAGGATTTTTTGTTTTAGATTCTGTCACTCACAGTTGAAGAGTACCTATGATAAAAATGACCGACTTCTACATGCTTTGTAAGTGGAAAAACCTGCAAAATCGGCAGTGTATCAAATGCTTGTTCTCTTCAAATTCATCAATAAAATAAGTTCTTGGTGTGCATTGTTATTTTAATCTTCAGCCTACTTAACTTTATTGAACTACTTCATTTGCTGGTTAATAGTAGTTTTACTAATCAGGCACCCATTGGAAAAGGGATGATAGCAGGTTTGATTTGTTCAGGGGATGTTTGAGTGTTTGTTTAGCCTGCAAGCTCTACGGCAAACAAATGCTGAAAATTAGGTAATAGGTTTAGAGTCTTGTTTGGGATTCTGCTCACTAGGGATGCACAAAGATTAGCCAGTCCTTCTGAACTTGCACTTGCCACCCTGAGTTAACCATAGAGTGTGAATACAAACTCTAGTCCCAAAGCCTATGGTAGTCTTGACCGATCGGCTGGATGACAGACTGGCTAAATAGCAAATTAGACTGAATACATAAATTTAGTACTATCTAAAGCTATGTCCACATTAAATTTGAAAATGCACATTTTATCTGCATTTTGGCCTTCTGTCTACACAAAGAGACCATTTGTGACCAGCTTTTTAAAATCACTCTCCCAAGTGAATATATTTGAAAACACTGTACACATTATAATGTGGACTGGAAGGTGTTTGATATTCAAAAATTAATCATCTAACACAAACATGTAATCCATTCAACCCAAACAGTGAGCTGGCAGCCCATGTTGTATTCCCATTTCTTGTTGTGTTGTTAAAGGTAAATGTAACTTTGTACAATCTTCATATTATATTCCTGCAAATCAGTCTGACAAAAACTAGGGGATGACCGAAGGATATGAGGTGGAGAGCCAGTGGAAACTAACGACATCGCTGGTACTGTAGACCGTGGTGACGATTATCGAATGCAGAGTGTGAAAACTCCTTCTAAGTAAGTTTGAACACCAGCTTTGCTAATTTCTGAGACCATTTCCCCTGGAGTTCTAGGGTCACCTTCATTTCCATTTGCTTTGTTTCAGTGTCTCTACCTCTATGGAACCCACCCCCTTTTGAAATGTATAAGAATAGTTCTGTATTTCATTTTGTTAGACTATTTTTGAGAAGGCTACAGCGACGAAATAAAGAACTGCGTAAAAAATTCCTCAAAGTCTCCTGGTCTGTTGCGTGGAAGAAAAATTTCACTACAGGGGCATCTCACCTTCAATTGCAGCCAAAACAAAGGACATGCTCATTGATTTTAAGAAAATTCCAAACACAAGAAATTACATCAATCAATCAAAGGTCAAACTGTTAAATGTGTGCAATCATATAAATCCTGGATGTTAATAGACTCAAAACTTTCAGTCTGAACCAGGAACTTTTGGAAAACTACTTAAAACTGTAGTGTGAACAGAGAGCATGCATTTCGTAATAAAAATGCTATGTTTTAAAATATATCAGGATTAAAGGGATAGTTCACTTTGAAAGTAATTTTTGATATGTTTTAGCTTGCCTCAAGGGCATCCAAGATGTAGGTGTCTTTGTTGCACAGTATTTTCAATTCTGAAATTTTTCGGTCAAACCGTTCTTGTCTGTCAGTTATATAATGCAGGTTTAGGGGGCCCACCTCAAAGAGCATGCACAGAGAAGTCAAAATTAAACATGATTTAATGACTCGTGAATGTAAGTATACACTGATGGCCTAAGACACGAAACGAGCGGTTTGTGTGAGAAAACGAACAGTATTTATGTAGTTTTTACCTCTTGTAGCTAAAAAGCTATGTCGAACTGATCTGAATCAGATGTCCAACCGTGACTGAACCGTGTCCAACGTTATGGCAGAAGTGATCTCTCGTCTACGTCATGAATTGTTTACACAGAGATTTCGGAAGTTTTACCTTTTACTAAACATATTTAGATATATACCGAAATCGTCTTCCATTGCGATTTCCCGTAATATGATTCAAAACATGAGGGCATTTATTCACTTATAGCCTGGTTTCAGTCAAGTTCAAGTTGACTTAATCTTTACTATAGTCTAATTTAAGAAAGTTTGCTTCTTTTTGTAAGCCTGTAGTAGCTTGACCATGCTACACTTCTGAAGTAGCTCCCCAACACTGGTTTCAAGCCAGGTGGTAATAAGTTTAAGCATCCTTGTTAAGACTGCTGGCAGTAGATAGAGTTAAGCCAAGTACACCAATGTCTACAGTCCTTCATGGCAGTAAATGATTTATCCATACACATCTTTTTTTTTTTTAATTCATGTGCCCTCATAATCTTTAATAAAAACAACTTTCCCTCCCACTTCCCACTTTACGCTTTTTCTTTGAGAAGCCGTTTCACTTTACATAATGATAGGGAAGAAACTACTATCACAACTTTGGTATTATGCTGACTTTATGGCCTCTACCAAACAGCACAAACCTTTAGTCTGTTGTTCTAACCAATCAGACTGCTGACTAGCAACATTTCCAAAAAATCTCATAGGCTCCCATTGAAAATTGCTAATTGTAGTGTCCAATTTTTATAAATCCTATCCAACCATTAGTGCTGCATAAGCATACACATTTGAATATTAAAATATTCAGATTACATTATACCTCTTCAAAGATTTTTAAGATGTTAAAATACATGCACTTTTAAAGCTCAGTTTCCACACTTACATTTTTGCTTTTGCACTTAGCAATATAGTTTTCCACATACACGTATAAGTAAACTTGAGAAGTTTCTTCACTTAACATACAGCCTTGTTGAATTTTACAGGTATCTTTTGTCTATACAACACCATGTTGTAAACTCTTAATCAGGATACTCCAGACTTGGCAAATGCCCTGGCATGCTATAACACTGGGACAAGCAATCCTATGTAGAAACTGTACCTACCTACTTGAACTCTAGTTGAACTTTTGTAGCTGGCATCACATAGGTTCCCATGAAAGTTGAGACTACATTGAGACTTTTCATATACAGTACATTTTGCCATTGAAGTATTACACATGTAACATGTATCCTTGATTTACTTTATTCGCTAACCCTGTTAGTGTAACTTGGGGGCTGTTTACACCTGGCCAGTTCATGCGTTCTCAGATCGGATAGCTATCTGATTTACCAAAACAATTCCAGTTACTATACAACTGGTCACATAAATGTGTTTTTGCAAAACAGATATAAGTCCGATCTTCAATTCCCGTGCTATATGCAGATTTAATGGAGTGCACGTCACCGAAAGCAAAATATGTTGCTGCAGTTTATTGATCATCGGCTAATTTCAAATTCAAAGATGCCAATAAGAGAGAGCTTTAAAGGGTCATTCCACCTCTGGAAAGATGAATGTGTATTTAAAATGGGTAATTTATGTAGAAGAAATGTGAAATTATTTTTGAATTTAATAATGATTGACGATTTCACATTTGCCTTTCTAATGATCTAATCCAATCTAATTTGTGCTCCTGTTACTGGCTAAGAATATTCTCAATTTAAAAGCTGAAAGCTACCAGATTATGAGGCCAAGTTATCAGTCTCACCAAAGTCATATGGAAACACTATGAAGCTAAATAAGCTGTTTTTCTGTTGACTTCTTTCTTGAAATGCAAACAATGCACATTATAAAATAAGAAATAAAATTAATGTTAGTGAGGTTTATACTTTTTACAACTATTTACAAATAAATATTCAATGGATAAAGATAACACACAAAATATACTTATGTATATAGTATACAAAATATATAGTTTCCTTTTCCTTTTTAAATAAAAGCTTCCCCATATATTCCCAAATATATCAATGTAAAAACTTGATTAGTTTTGACTGAGATTGTTTTATCATGAAATGTAATTGTCTGCAGCTTTTAGCAAACTTATTCTTGAAAGAAAAACATGCTATGTGCTTGTACTTTGTTGAGGCAAAAATTCAATAAACAGACATCACTGCATCACTCAGAGTCGAATTAATAAAAGGAAAAGAGGTTTATTATTCTTGCAAGAACAATAAGGCTCAGTCACCAACACAGATTACTGTGAAGTGAAATGACGTGCAGAACACAGGCCGGAGTTCATTCTTATATCTCTCTCAAGGTTATTTACTTCAGGCCCAGACTTCTCTGTAAAATTCCACAAGCCATTGGACTCATTAGCTGGGTTAGATTTACTGCTAACCCCCTCTATCCTCCCCAGTCTAAGATGACCTCTGACCCGGCCGGTTCTCTGATGCCTCACTCCGCTAAAGAAAAGACAAATTACTTCCTTCACGGATAGCTAAACCATAAGACATTCCTCCATTATTACATATAGGAGGTGAACAGATAATATAAAATAGAAAAACATAAGACCCATTAGTTATAATGTGAGATTAAAAATTCCCCCAACAACTTACTACAGCAACACCTAGAAACGTAATGTCAAATATCACTCTAAAATATTTTCAGTTAAATATTAAGTTAATTGATGCTGTTTTAACAATATTTTTCCTGCATCAAAACAAACTATTATATATTAATTAAGAATGGGGTTTGTCCTGGAATGAAGCCCTTTTTTCCTTTGTACTTTTTGATTTGCGTGCTGCCAAATATGTCCTATCAAAAGACAACAAGAATGAAAACTGTGCAGATTTAAAACATATAAGGCCATTTCAGTGTAGTTGTGCTAATTCCCTTACCTTGAGACTTCTGGCAAAAGAACAGTCTTTGGCAAGAATAATAGCTTAGATCTAATTATCTCCTTTAGGAGAACTTTATTGAGAGTGAATTGTTTTAACACACTTATCTTCCTTTCTCAAATCTTTGCCAAAAATCAGCCATGCCTCAATCATTCCCAGACAAATAGAGAGGATGTAGTGAGGTGTGGCTGAGGGTTTCTGAGTTTGTGAGAAATACATACTGTATAAGTTTTTGACTAAAAAAACGGAATACTCTTTTTCGAGGAGAATAATTTGAAAAATGCTCTTCACAAATCAAGGTTACCGTATTGGGTAAGGTCTGTGCACGTGCCACCGATGACTTTAACTTTCTGGACTGTTAATATTATTATGAATGTCTTATTGTAAAAGACATTTCATTCTTATACAGATATTGGTGAAGATTATGTGTTATTTGTATTGACTTGCAGATGAATTGATCCCTCAGCTTATATCGTCAGCAATAAGACTTTGTGGTGACTGAGCTAATGTAATTAATTGATGATGTCTGGCTGAGGAACAATTCCCAAGCGGAGTTAATTAATAGATCTTATTATCCAATTCCAGTGAATTTTCCCACCCACTCCCTTCACTCGCTCTTTTGTAGCCAATCACCTGTTGCTTGAGAAATGACATGTCTTCTGGGTAAAAGAGCAAAGGGCTTGATGTTGTTTTCCAGTTAGTGCTCAATGTCAGTCAAGAGTTTATTGATTTAGCCTAAGCCTCCTTATCCAAATCAATGCTTCTTTAATGCATATTTCTGCAAAAAAAGTTATGAATTGGTTAGCCCTTCTAAATATTATTTGCTGATGTCATAGAAATCAATTGTTTCCCATTTTTTGTGATATATAAATTATCAAAACAATTTGTTTATTAAACCATAACTCACTTTGAGTGGCTAAAGTAAAAAAAAAAAACTAAAACAAAATCTGATGTCTCCAATGTCTAAAGTAAAAGATTAATATTAACCCAAAAATATAATTAAAAGTCTTATTTGATGCAGATGTGTGGAGGTTTCGTAATTTGTGATCATTGATTTGGCTGACAAATTGTAGTCAGTATAGCAGCTTAGTCCATGTTGGCAACACCTTCATATTCCTTTGCCCTCTTCCCTGACCAAACTCTTGGGATGTGTTTTAACTATAATCCAATTCAACCTGTTACAGCCCTTTACAAAGGCCTAATGCCATTACAAATTACATTTGCTCCTCAAATGTTGAGTGCCTTTATTGTATTACCAATACCTTCGCTGTACTCCTTGCATTGCGAAATGTACTCCTTTATGCAACATTTTTGAAAATTAGTTGTGTAAATGATGCTGAATTGGTTGATAATCACCTAGACAGATTAAATCATTCATTCATTCATTCACCATCCATCCATCTATCCATTCAAGAGCCCGATCTCATGAAAGTTCGTATCTATAGCACGAATGTAATTTCTCGTGCAATTTATACACCAAAAATAGTTTTTGCATGTATATGGTATGTGTTTTTCAAGTGCATGATTTATGGAGTATAATACGCACAAACTCCCCACTCCCCCCTAAACCTACCCAAGGGGTTTTCAGTGCGTATCATATGCACGCAAAAACCATATTTGGCGTAAAAATGGCACGAGAAATGACATTCGTGGTGACATTCATGCACTTTCATGAGGCTGTGTTGCCATTCAACCACTTGTCCTTATAGGATCACAGGGATGCTTGAGCCTATCCCAGCATCTCAGGGGTGAAGGAGGAGGAAAAACCTAACAAACAAGTGCTGGGACACGCACTCCACACCAAAGGGGTTTTTAATTCTGTTATCTAATTTTTTGAACCATCAACACATCGAATGAGGTTCGCATCGAGTGAGGTTCACCTATAAAAGGATCAGTTGACCGTAGTATAGGTGATGTGTGCTTTTACATATTGAAATCTTAAAATGACGTATTTAGCATTTTTTATAGTAGTTATTTGAAATAACAATTGCAACAATTAATAATTAATTGTTAACATTAACACAGTCCTATGTTTTACATTTTTGGTGCCAGTGTTTATTCTGCATTTAAAATATTATATATTGTGTGTAGATAGAGAAACAGACAGAGAGAGAGAGAGATTATTGTCAATATCTACCTTTTCTGATGCTCTTGATGCACATAAAATGCAACACTTTCGTGTATGATAAGCATCATGCTCTTCGTCATCAGTTTACCTGAGGGCATCCCAAAAAACAAACATTAATACATTACATTGTTAACCGTTATAACAGACTTAATCAGTTACAAAATTTGATCAGTAAATGAAACATGTCTTAAATTTACAAAAAAGCCACAAGAGCGCCTCTGTTAACACTGACTGTGTGTGCAGTGTGTCAGAGAGGTTTGTAGGAGAATTTAAACAAAAGAACAAGTAAATGGAGGAGTGATGTCATTACAGTGATGGAATTACAGAGGCTCTTCTGTAAGTGCCAAAACATCCATCACTTTACCTAGCAAAATTGTCTTCCTAATTAGTAAAGTCAATTACTGAATTAAACACTTAGTAGAGATGGCTGCCGTACTGATAAATGTTGACCCAAGGATTTTAAAATAATGTCTAAAACTTTTGCAAGAGTATGATTTGTTTCGATAACCCTTGCAAATTAGCAGGTTTCGTGCCTGTGTGCTTGATATAGAATCCAATAAACACACCCAGCTCACGCGTGTAGCTCCAGAAATGTATTGTTTTTGCAATTGCTATTGTGAAACCTTGAAATCTTGTATAATCAAAACATTACACATTTTTTAACATTTGAAATATGCATTGAATGTTCTTAAATGAGACATGCACACTCCCCATGTATTGCATGATTAGCTAAATCACACATTTCAACTTGAGTATGTTTTTAAAAAGTAAACCTCCATGTTTTCCAATTATACATTTTCTACAAATCAAGAATCCCACAATATTGACCTCATTCCCTGACTTTTGAATGGCTTTTTAAAGGTCAAAGCTAAAGAAAATGAGTTTCAAGCTTAAGCAGAACATTGAGTGTGAACAAACAGGAAGGAGCCTGTCCCATCTGTCAGATTAGCATCTCTGAAGTGTGTCAACACCTTCAAGGAGGATTTCCAGCCACAAGTAGCTTGTGATTATCCCATTACAGGCACTAAAAGGCCCTGACAAGCTGTTAACACCATGGCTGTTTGCATCCTCTCTTAATGCTTCAATCCTGCCTGATTGGATTCACACCTTCTACGCAATAGCAAAGCCATGTTGAAGGACCAGAGCCAAACCAAAGCATGAACATGCATGGCATCTGTTCCCCTTGACTGAAGCAATGTCCTCTAGAACACACACACACACACACATCCACAATCCTTCACTTGAAGAAAGAATATTTTATGTATATATATATATATATATATATATATATATATATATATGAAGAGTTCAGATGCAAAAGCCTCTAAGTGCCGTTTAAAATTTTCTTCTAGAATGATAATTTTTATCAAGCTTGTATATTTAAGTTCAGTGATTTCACTTAAATGGCAATGATAATTACCTATTAATTGTTATTTAAGTGAAATTACTGAACTTAAATATACAAGTTTGATAAAAATCATCATTAAATAAGAAAATTTCAAATGGCATTTAGAGGCTTGTGCATCTGAACTCTTCATATATATTATAACATTAATATATTTTGCTATTAAAATGAAAGCAAACAACAAGAATTATTTGACGTAACCAAAAGCATGTTTCTAAAATAAAAATGGCCCCTCTTTAACCCAGGAATGTTGACCTAGATGTTAATTGCATGGTCCTTCTTCACTGGTTTGCGAGTGATTATTTTCCAAATAATGATTATATATATATATATATATATCAATTTAACATAACTTATCTAATCATATAGAGTTGGGAGATAAAGTTGTAAATAAAACAAAGATTATCGGAGCACAGGAGTACTATTTCAGTCTTCCTAGATAAAAATTTCATGTTTAATTCAATGTATTACTTGCCATTTCATTTTGATTAATTGTGAAATTTACTGGCAATTTCTGAGTGAAAACTGTATACACAAAAAAAAAATCAGTTATAATCTCATGTCATTTACTGTACAACTTTTATGTCAGCTATATATTTTTCTGAATTGCTCTGTTGAATATTGGGATCTACATATAAAAAGACAAACTAATTTTAAAGCATTTAGGTCATTGTTGGTAGATGTTCTGATGTTTATGTATAAAGCATGTTTAGATGCATCCAAAACCATTTATTTATTTATTTATCATGATGATAAAGTCTTGGTTCCATAATTTAGTCACACTGTCCCCCAAAATACCCCTTATACCACACTAAATAAATCAGCAAACATTGTGCTGAAAAGAACAATTTTGTATTATTCCAAACTTAGCATAGACTAGCTTTCAAAAGATTCTTTAATGTTTTTAAATGAAATTCTTCATTGAAATGAAATGATGTTCATCCTGGCTGCATTTATTTTATCAAATATACAGTACACTCTAAAAAAAATGTTGGGTTGTTTTAACCCAATTTTGGGTCAAATATGGACACTGGGTTACATTTTTAAGTTACATTTTTTTACCCAATGTTTGAATTCATCCATATTTGACCCAAAATTGGGTTAAAACAAACCAGCGTTTATTAGAGTGTACAAACACTATTGTTAAATATTATTACAATTTAAAATAAGAGTTTTCTATATCCATATATTTTTTTAATGAATTTATTCCTGAATTTTCAGCATCATACTCCAGTCTTCAGTGTCACATGATCCTTCAAAAATCATTTTAACATGCTGATTTGGATCTAAAGTAAGATTGCCTATTATCATGCGGCTTAATATGAAATTGTTTAGTTTTTTTTGTAGCAATGTAAATGTCTTTACTTTTCCTTTTATTAATGTGAACTAGCTGACTGAAACTATAACACAGTGGTGTATATTGAATGTTTTTTCACCTTGGTGTAAATGAGATTGGGAATGAGCTTAGCAGAACCATAAGAAAAGGATAGTTAGGTAGGCGTGGAGGGAGTGTGAGGTTAGAGGCGTGAAGAGAATGTAAAAAGTCACACGTCACTTAATAAGGATTAGCCTCTAAACAGTGTGTTTGGCATCTTAGCGCCAAAGGGCTTATCACAGATCCGGCACTGGCTTGAAAAGAGACTGTGGAAGGAAGCCACCATCATGGACAGGAAGTTTTCCTGGCCACTACTCAAAGGTCAGCGTCTATATGGTAAGATATGCAATTACCCTAATGGCCCAGTTGAATGTGCAGACATCATGTGCCTGTTTGATGATGAAACTCTAAACTGACACATGTACACGTGATATTATAAATGTATATTTCAGCCAAAAATGAAAAATCATCTTTTATTTACCCTTGAGTTGTCACAGACTTGCTTCACGGAAGAAAGAAAGTCATACAGGTTTGGAACGACATGAGGTGAGGTCATTTTTGGGTCAACTGTTCCTTTAAATGTGAAACTTTGTTTAAATGTATTTTGAAATGCTATAGTACATAAACATACACTGAGAAAATCAACACATCGTATACAAACCTTCCTATATACTATTTACAGTGGTCTCAAAAAGTATTTGGATATTTAATTCACATGCACATGCATCAATATAAATGACATTTGATAAAATATCAAAGTAGGTGGCATTTATTTAAAAGAAAGATAGTAAAAGTTTGTTAGGTTTGAAATGATAAAACAATCATACTGTTGAAAACAATTGTAAAAAATATATATTTTGCCAGAAGCCACTTGGATTGATGTTTTGTTATCTACTATATATTTTTAAACTATGTCTTAAGTGCCCAAATACTTTTTAGTGTCATCTATATATTGCACAAAACCACAATGTTAAAAAAAAACTGTTGATTTAACTTAAAAAAGTAAGTTACCTGGTTTCCTTTTGAAAATTTACTTAATTAAAATTCATTAAACATTTGAGTTAATACAATGAGGGGGTTGTATTAAAATAATGTTATCTGAACCACATTAATTGTCTAAATTGATTTGACAAAAGATAAAAAGTTAAAAATATTTTTTACAATGCACTAACTTTTTTTTTTTCTTTTTTAAATTATCATATGTCAGTAGTCTTATTAGATGAGGAAAGCTGAGAGAAAATGCAGATTCAGGAAAAGTCTGTTAATCTTAGATTGATTTGTGGCCGTCTGCATCACCCTGTTTAGTCACCTTCACAGAAGTATGGACGAGCTTTCCCTGATCTCATTACCCCCTATAGCCGTGTATCAGAACGAAAGGACTTTCAGCCCCTGTTGCAATTGTAATTTAGGAGAATTGTTTTCTTGCTCTTTGAAATATTTCCTTCCTATTGCCATACTTGGGTCCAATAACAGGGCAGTAAAGGCTGCATTAATTTTGTCCCCAAAAAAAAGAGAGATTAAAACAGTAAAAGTGTGCTGCTTAATATTTTTGTGGAAACACTGCATGATAAAAAAAAATACGATTCCTTGATAAACAGAAAGAATTTAATTTATTTGAAATAGATTTTTTTTTTTTTTACAATTTAAGTCTTTCCTCTCAATTTTTGGACAATTTATTACATACTTGCTGAATAAAAGTATTGATTGAAAAGTATTGAAAACATCAAACCTTTGAATGGTAGTGTACAACTGCAAATATACAAACAATTCTATTTCATATTGCCTTGGGCTAGGAAAAACATTGAATTCCTTTAAAGAAATGTACGAACTTAGACTTGACAAGAGAATTATCAACAAATAATCGGGTTTATGCCATTGTTCATTTTAGCATACAATATATTAAGCAATGCAGTGTACCTGTCCCTTGTATTTGCAGGGATCAAATGCAACAATCGCTCCTTTAAAACTCAAATCGTTCAACCCATAGACAGTGGTTCAATCACTAATCTGAATATTGCTATGTTGGTTGCAGACCTGGGTCTACAAGTGTCCAGTAGATGGCGCTATCCAACAAAGCCCTGCATAGCAAGAGGATAAATGCACTTGCATGAAGAAAGAAATACATTTCTAATGTCCAGCAGGTGGCGCATTCATTTATATATTTCTTAATTCTTTACATTTCTTTGACATCAAGTGCTCAAAATGTCAGTGTTAACTGCATATCTATTATGGCACAGGAAAATTCATTCCATTCCATTAAAAAAATGTCATTAGCGATCTTTCATATTTTTCTTGAAACGTGCATCAGAATCTTTTGTCCAACCAAACCATAACAGAAAAAATGATCCCATAAACGTAATTGGGAAAAAAATAATCTTGTAAAAAAAAAGGTGGGCACACAGAAATAACAATTTTGTACAGTTGTATACTCTAACTTACAATTTTCACATTTTATACATTTTTGTTTCACATGTCAGACAAACACACTCCACTCTTAAAGGGGAATCTGAGAGGTTCCATGGTTGCCAATCCGCGGAATTGGCCTACTTTTAAAGTTTTTACATATTTTGTCATTTATTTTTGACTGAAATGCTTGTATTGCAACATTTGATATGCTACCAATGATAATACTGTACTAGATGTTAAGTTTTGTGAAGGAGGGACATTGGTAGGGAGGTTTTGAGCTGTGTGTGTAATGATCTCTATGATGTAACGGTTTTCAATTTGCATAATAGTGACTGTAAAATATGTATTTAAGGTAAGCGAGAGGCATATTTTGAGTTTTGATGTTTGTGATATATGGTCATAGGGTAACTTTTGTGCTATTTTTGATTGGCCATTGGCCAATAAGTTTTGTTATGCAGACCTGGCAATCCTGGCCTTCAAGACCCTTTTTAAAGTAACACTTAAAATCATTTATAAAAAGCAAACAAGCCTTGTCCTTGTCCAGTCTTGATTGAACTGTATAAAAAAAATGTAAAAAAATGCTTTGATAAACATTACTACTTAACCATCATATGATGTTCAGAATCAGCCCACTTAAATGACAATGGGTCAAAAATGTTTGTCAGAGGCTAAAAACAAAGCAGAAATGGTGAACAGTCAGACAATGTCTCTGGGAGGTAATGAGTTGGGTGTGTGAACAGTTCGTAAAGTCAATAGGTCTGTGAAGGTCTCAAAAGTAACTGTGTTTAGCTTGGGTTTTGGACGTTTAGGATCTGGCAGGTCTTCAGCAGCAGTGCACAAGACTTTTACTCTCTGATTTGAAAAATGTAAAAAAAAAAATGCACAGTGTTAATTATTTTGATAATATATTATAAAAATTAAGATTTTTATACAGTATATATAATAATAATAATAATTGATTGACTGCCAACCTCAGTGAAATAATGCAATAGCTGGGTTTCAGTCACGTAATTATGATGACGCGCAAAATTCAGATGGAGTGCAAGGAGTGAAGAGCGCAATGGACGAGATGGAGGAAAGTACGTATTGTACTACTTTACACGCTATTACAAGAGAAATATGTAAACAAACATATGTTGGACGTGATCCTTACGTTATGAAGAGGAGCGATTTTTCAACCGAATTGAAAGATTTTCCAGCCATCGAGGCTGTAGAAATCAGCAACTATGAACTACCTCGTCTTGCAGACATAACTTAACGTTACTTTGACTTTACAAATTTCGGAAACATTACACATTACACAAACACAGCCACTTGAATTGTTGTATTAACTCACCTTTGACGAAGTCATCACTGCACACACGGCCATTTTCCCATTCAGCTCCTCTCGACCGCAGACGTAAAAGTTAGGTTTGCAAGCCTTTTCCCGAAGTTTTTCGGTCAATTTCTAGCATTTCCCCCCTTATAAACAACAACTTTAGGTACACGATAAACACTCCCCGTGGTTTGATCGATTTAAGTAACGATAAACGACGCAAACACAGGCATTTTAAGTCTGTTACAGTTCTTTCTAAACAGAGCAAAAGCAAATCACCCTACATTTGCATTTCGCGCCATTGGCAACACAGTGGCGTGACGTCATGTGAAAACAACGACTGTGATGCTTTACCCGTTGACTGTTTATTTTTTATTTATTTTTTTTTTGTTTCTTTTTTTCTCTCTTCTTTCCTTCTTTATTTTGTTTATGCAAGAATGAATCTACTTGTTCAATATATACATTGTTGGAAATGATCCAGATGTTTAAGAGGTGCATGTTTGCACTATTGTAAAACAATTATTGAATAAAAAAAGAAGAAAAAAAAAGAAATGTCTTTACCTGGCGCATAGACCCTGGAGTGGTGCCAACCAAATAAATCATCCACAGTGGAACAAGTAGGGTGGAGGAGAGGGTGAGGAAGCCACCAATCGCATAGCCCCACCAGGGGTATTCATACACATTGTTGAACTTCAGAGGGGTGTATTTAACCAAAGAAAAGATAAACGTTCCCTAAATAGAAAAGAAAGGGAATGCTGAGCAGTGGGAATCCGTCAGTCAGTCCGATATGCTTTGTCACATTGAGTCAATGCTTTCTTGTGTTTTGAAGTGCTATCGGTTTAAAGACAGACACGGATGACAGGTGTCAAACACAGACTCACAGGTGGCTAAATTTGTGGATGCAGTGTGGAAATACAGAATGAAGCATATTCTGATTTTAAAAAGCCTTGGAAAAAGAATTCAAGCAATTTAAATTATACTCACTGTGCAAATAGCTGGTGTTAGATATTTCCAGCAGCACTTCATGAAGGGCCAAGGCCGATATCCAATCATATCCTCAATGCTATCATAGAGACGGTCTGCACCTAAAATAACATTTTTAAAAAATGTAAAACTCGGAAACACACTGTAATCCATTTTTTCACGTTACTTTATTTTGTTACTTTGCTTTTAATTGGCTAAGAATTGAATATACCTTTGACTTGGATTAATTGCACAGCTAAGAAGTTGTTCTCTAAATATTTCAACAGAGGTCGCCAAAGTTGCAAATGCAAACATGCACCATGCTTCCAGTATTTAAACAGCAAATTTTGCAAGTCAAATAAATGAATTTACCATATACCCATCCAACACAGATGGACTGAAGGATGGCAAAAGTAAGAAGAGCCATTCCACTACATGCATAATAGTCAAAAAGCTGGAAGACATACAGGCCGCCCTAAAAGTAAAACAGATAAAATTGCAGACATAAAATACAGGTGGTGTGGGTTTTGCCAATCATCTTTGTGTTCTTATGTGTGAGACTCACCTCTGTTACCATCAGCAGACCTAAAAGGAAGCTGACAGCACATATGAAGAGGAGAAGAAATTTACGCCGATGTCCAATTTGGAAGAAGGAGGGATACATATCCGAGATAGCCGTTACCAGGGCTTCATGATACACAAACTGATACATCAATAGAAAAAGCTTTAGGGTATCCGTTCTATGAATTAAATAGAGAAAGATAAGTCTGTATAGCTGCCTGTATTTACCTCACTATCCAGTCCCAAGAATATGATCATAATAAAGAAGAAGATTGCCCATAACTGAGGCAGGGGCATCAAAGCCACAGCCCGGGGATAAGCAATGAACGCCAATCCAGGACCTGCCACAAACAAAAGTTATCAGACAAATCCTCCCCCTCTTTGAAAACTCTTGACACACACAACACAATTGCACATAATGTGAATGGAGTGATTAATAAAGCAAAAAAATAAATAAAATACAAATGTATCACCAAGACCAATTGCTTCATACATGAAACCTTCCAAATGACAAACTTTTGCAGTTAATAAATCCAGCCTTTTACCTGACTCTGCTACCATTGAAATATCCATTCCCTGTTCATCTGCCATGAAGCCCAGGACCGAAAATATAGCTAAACCAGCCACAAAACTAGTTAAGCTGTTGAGCAGACATAAGTACACACAGTCTCTGAAAGACAAATAGCAAAAGACAACATGCGTTGCTAGTGAAATTTGGAATGAAAGGCGAAGAAAACAGACTCACGTCACAAAATGTTGCATTAGATCATCTAAAGTAGTTACCTGTAGCAGTTGTTGTCATATTTGTTGTAGCTTCCCAAAGCAGTCAGTACTCCTGTACACACTCCATATGAGTAAAATATCTGACTGCCTGCATCCATCCACACCTAAAACATCAATTATTATTTTAAAATACAGTAATTCAAAATTCAGCAACACATCAACTTTGGGTTTCAACATTACAACATTTCTGGGCAAAAGAGAATAGCTATGTGCCTGTGGGTCTGTGAGACGTGTTGGATCAGGGTAAAGGTAGTATATGATGCCATTCTTCGCTCCAGGAAGAGTAAGTCCACGGACCAGCAGCACGGCCAACATTAAATAGGGAAAAGTAGCAGTGAGGTATACCACCTGAAAACAGGAAGAGAGAGACTGCAATGATCATGAGTTTGATTCCCATAGTGCACACATACTGATAACTGTATACCTCGAATAAAAAAAATACATAATTCTATGTAGAATTAAGAAGATGTAGGTTCAACCATGTGAAGAATTTTTTTAAACTAAATCCATTACATTTTTTAAATTGAACTTTTTAACTTTAAAATATTTTTTTTTATTAAATACGTTTATTTGTTTGTTTATTTTTATAAATTCATTACATTTATTTATTTATTTTTAGTTTACCTTTTTTTAAAAAAACTTTTATTCTTTTAAAATATTTTTCAATTTATTTATTTATAATCTTCATTTATATATATATATATATATATATATATATAGGAATAAATTAAATGTTTATTTTTTAATACATTTTACAATTATATAAAATTATTTTAATTTTATTGCATATTAGTTCTATATTTAGCCAACGGATGCAAACTTGATGTGTGAGTAATTTGAAAGTCACTGTAAAATTGTTTCATTTTGTCAAAAAATATGGGGTTAAATAAAGTTAAATAAAACTTTATGCACATTCCACTTTCTCGCTCATGGGTAAATCTATCTTGCCACTCATTTTGTGCTACATTGGTTTCATTGTTAAAAAGTTTAGTAAATGTCTCACCTTGCCTGTGGACTTCACTCCCTTCCACACACAGAAGTAGCAGATGATCCAGGCCAACAGGAGACAGAGCGCCAAGTCCCATCTCACATTACCAATCTGTTCTATTCCTTCAGACAATCCCAAAATTCTTCTCCTGTAGGCATAAAATATAGGATCTTTCGGTTTTACATCCTTTATTGTGATTCTTTTTAATTAGCTGGATGCATTTTGTTTTCATGTGTTGCCTTATGCAAAATTCAACTTAACACAAACTGGTTTTAATGGGGTGCTATTTCCAACAACTTACTCCCAAAACTCAATAACAGGGGATGTGCTTGTCTCTGAAGAATATTCAGTAATGTTGCTCTTGCTGAACTCTTTGCAGTTGTCTAAATAAAGAAAGGCAGTGGTTATTTAAATGGCATAACACATTGTTATAATAATTCACACTGTTCTGTATGGGATACCTGTGTTCCAGTAGTTTTTGCAGCTAGCCCACGGCAGCTCTGAACTGAAGGACGAGAAGAGGTAAAGGAAAGCCCAAGCTAGAATTATGATGTAATAGACTCCAGCATAGAAGACACCGACTTGGCTACCATAACCGAGGCCTGTGGGTGAAAAAAATGCAAGTGAAGTAAAAAGCAGTAATGCAATGATATTGAAAAGTCACTGTATATGAGATCATTGCTCACCTTCAAACAGTGGACAGATCTTCCTCCAGCACGTGATTCCACCCTGACTGGTGAACTGACCCAGTGACATCTCCAAAAAGAAAAGTGGAATCCCACAGGTGAAGAGAAACAGCACATATGGCACAAAAAATGCCCCTATATGACAAAATGAACAAGTCAGATTTATCAACACACAATATACACATCAATACTGTTCTTAAGAAAAGATTTTACTTAGTCGGTTTTAACTCACCCTTATAAAAAGGGTTTAATAAAATGAAATGATCTAAAATGGTGGTCCACAAATTAATGTTTGATTTATATGACAACATGTGTCAAACTAAAATACAATATTAAGTTAACTTTAACCAATACAAAAGCAATCATGCAAGTAATAATCAATAATGATTTTAAGCATGATGAAGTGCTCACCAAGGCTGCATTTATTTGATCAATAATAAACAATAATACTGAGAAACATTGGTACAATTTAAAATATCTGTTTTCTATTTTAATGTTTTTAATGTACTTTATTCCTGTAATGGCAAAGCTGAATTTTCAGGATCATTACTCCAGTCTTCAGTGTTGCATGATCCTGCACAATCAATGATTATTTGGTGCTAAATAAACATTATTTATATCAATGATGAAAATAGTTGTGCTGTTTAATATTTTTGTGGAAACCGTGATTATTTCTTATTTAATAAATAGAAAGTTCAACAGCATTTATTTGAAACAGAAATAAACACTTTTAGTGAAATAAGCATCCTTGCTGGATAAAAGTATTCATTTCTTTCTCCCAAAAAAACTTGACTGCAAAATTTAGAAGAATAGTGTACATCAACACCATATTTTAAGCCAGAATTAAAATGCATCCCATAAAACTTTTGTTATAATAAAAACAAAACTCACTTCTTGTGCATGTATTCATACCACTGTTTGCGTGGTTATTATTATGCCAATAACAGAATAACAGAGAGACTTTTTGTATCTGAGAGTTTTTTTTTAAAGATTTTTTATGCTATATTAAGTACATATGATTACTAAAAAAAAACACCTTTCAATATTAATGATTATATTAATGATTAAATTTCAATATTGCACTCACCTCCCCCATTCTTGTAGCACAAATACGGAAACCTCCACACATTTCCCAGGCCAATGATGTGTCCTGCGACTGCCAAGAGAAATTCCAGCTTATTGGCCCACTGCTCTCTCTCCTGGGTTTTAGGTCTGGCCTGCAGGGCACCATTCATGAGGTCCAATTTCACCTCTGCCCTTGAGCTATGCTCCATGATGCTAATGATGGGATGAAAAAACAAACACACAAAAAATAAATGAATTTTTAATAAATTTTAATATGTACAACTCTAACCCTATTTTTGTCTACAGTTGTCTACATCTGTAATATACATATTTTTTATAATACTACATCAGTGATTTTGACTACATGCCTTAAGCACAAGATGTATTTAATAAGATGCATAATTAATACCGTATAACTTTCACAAATGTAGAGTAGTTGTTATGAAACATATTTCTGGTGTTATGAAGAATGGGGCCCACATGTGTTTAGGGGAGATGTGGCCTCATCTGTTGGAAATGATAGCATCAAAGGACTCTGCAAACAGCTGCACGTGTTTCTTTCACGTGCTTTTACCTCTTACAAAAGCTAATGATAGACCAGTCATTGACTATTGAAATATTCAGTATGTCCACATTGGTGTACTATACATGTGTAACTTCTATATAGTACATTATATAATTTTACTGTAACACTATACAATAAGGATCATTAGTTAACATGAACAAAGAATGACCAACAGCATTTATTTATCAGTTAATATGAATTTCAACATTTACTAAAACTTTATTCAAATCATAGGGTGTATTTGTTAACAATTAGTTGATGCACTGTGAACTAACATGAACAATGAACAACTGGATTTGTATTAACTTACCTTACATTAACAAAGATTAATACTGTAACAAATGTACTCATTACTGTAATTAATGTGCTCATTAGTTCATGTTAGTTAATACATTAACTAAAATAAAGTTAATATTAGTTAATACATTAACTAATGAACCTTATTGTAAAGTTTTACAATTTTATATGCCATGCCTATAATTATCATGCAATGTTTTGTTTTTTGTTTCCTCTTTAATACTCACGAGTCTTAGAACTATGCATATCACCTTGCAAATTCGATTGCATAAAATTGAACTTAAGGCAGTTATTAAAGGTAAATTATGTTCAAGCATTTTTTTTTCATATATAAATACAGCCCTAATATTGCCATTGCCAGAGGCATCCAAGATCATTTCAACATCTCACCACAAACAGCTAAAAACAAAAAACAGGTTTTTTAGACACCCACGGAAAAAGTATTTTTATGTTATGCCACCCTCACACGTGTATAGTGATATTAGCGTATATAGCGTATAAAGATATTCAGCTCACCTTAAATAAGATTGCATAACAATTGATTCTTAAAAAATAATTGTTTAAAAATGAACAAGAAAGGTGCTTACCTGTTGTGGGCCTGGTTTTGCTTATCATACATGCCGAAACCATGCCTGAATTATTTAATTATTTATTTTTTACCACAGCACAGTGTGTCACAACAATAAAGTGTAATGTAATAATGCAACAAAATAGTAATCAGAATACCTGTGAATTGTGATGAATCCGTTTTGTATGTCCCCTTAATGCAGTGCTTGCTAGGTTAGCAGTTCAAAACAATGTCCTCAAAGAAAATGGCTGAGGAGTGGCCAAACCTGCTTCATGAGCTCCTGAACAAGGACTGACCAGGTTTATTATTCTCTGCTTTACAAGTAAATACAACCATGTCCATGTGTGTGACAACAACATGTGTGTGTGTGTGTCCCCTGGTCTGTTTTATGGTATGTTTTCTTAGAGATAAAACAGAAATGTCTTATCAGTGAAGTAACTGGCATCTAATTGGTTTCTTTCTCTCCCCCAACTCGCTCTGGCAGCCTGTCTAAAAATATAGCAATAGCCTGAAAAAATACATTCTACTTTCAGCAGTTCTCCCTCAAGCTGAATTAGAAGTAACCGGACACCTTTCTGTGTGCATTGTCAAATGCTTTCAGAAATGAAAGAATGCTGAAATACCTGAATCGAATGTGTTCTGAATGTTCTCCATTAAGAAACCAGTAATTGCTGCACATTTCATGGCAAATGCCATTTTCCCATCAGTCCTGCAGGATAGGCCTATAAAACTTTGTGGGAGATGGAACATGGAAGAGTATAAATTCTGAAACTAATCACATTCAGGTCATTTTTTACAGTTGTTCTTTCATTTCAGGAGTGATCATGGGACAACTGCTGGTTAACATATGGCATTATTTAGCCTATTTCAGTAGCCTATCACTCCGTACTTTCAAAACATTGTAGCCTTGGAAGGGTTGTGGAAACACCATGCACAGGGTCCGTGTCCTCCGAGATCTGACTTTTTCTATCAAAACTAGTCTCTAAATGTGACTGACTTGTAGCAACACTTTAAATGTAAACATTGCCGTCATAACACGCATTTATTAATGTTGTCTCTTGTCTTGTTTGCAGAAGATTTCTGAATCCTTTTGAACGACACTGTAAACAAAAAGACACGCTGAGATTAAACTCGCGGACTGGCCGTCGGACTGAGGGCTGTTTTAGTCCGCCCTTATTTATCAACTTAATGTGATGAAAAAGCGATCTTTTTTATTAGCAGGAGAACTCAGCCACATGGGCGTTGCGCCCTCCTGCAGTGCAGCTGTGCGAGGGTGCGCGCGCTATAACTTTTGGATGTCAAACGTTCATCACACGCGACTCGCATGCACACACATCAACACAGCGTTCAGTCAACTCATTTCGTGAGTGTGCGAGGCCGATATATATAAAAAAAAATAATCTTCATGATTAAAGGACACGGTGTAGCAGGGCTGCCTTCTCACGTCATATCACAACTATCTCTCCAGAGTTAATTCTCTGTATTAATAAAAATCGATCATGCTATGAAAGAAAGCAGGAGATGCGTTTGTGGGAATAATCTGGAAAATAAAGACATGTAGGCCTATACTTGTTTCAGGTGGAGCTAAGATAGTATTAGTACAAGCACATTTTAAGCCCCATTGTCAACTTTAATCATATAAAATGTAATTTTCCAACAACAAAAATGTGGCTAGAAAAATATGCTGCGTGGCTAGTAATTTTGAAAAATCACTAGCCACATTGGCTAGACATTGATTGCATGAGAGGTTTGTCTGTATGAGTTTGTTAATGGCAGCCTGTGCCCTTTTGTAGTGTAGGCTTTATAGGCTATTTCTCATCAAACTGTGTTAACTGTGACTGATTTCAGTAAGTCTGCCATATATTGCCACCCCTCAAAAATGCCTGCCCCCCTCTCGCCACCCCATAAACATTTTTCTAGATCTTCACCCAGTCTCAGTTGTCAGTCTGTCTAGAATTCTATCAGAAGTAGGGCTTGTGAGTTCAACATGCTCTTGACTTATTTGATCAGATTGTCCAGTTTGACTTCTGGTTTGCTCTTGGATCTTTGTGCTCGAGTTCAACTGGCCAGCAGTCAGCCTGAACATTCCAGATTTCCTGATTTTGCGGGTAGTCTTGCGAAAGTGAGCAATGGCTTGTATAATGCAGTCAGCAGTCCAGTGTTGTCGAGTGAGAGCATTCTCTGCTTTGAAGGGACCGTCTCGTGTACGACGCACTCCGGAACAGACAGCAGAAGTCCGCAGCTCTAGTCCTACCTCATGAATCAATTTACGCAGATACTTCTGAGTCTCATTCACACACTGGACCTCTTTTTGTGTAGAAAAGAACAAATTTGTGGTTACTGGCCTTACAAGTAAAGCAAACCTATACTAATGTATATGTACAGAATATATTATTCAAATGTACTAACCCAATGTGAAATGTGGCGGATTGAAATGTATGCATCGCAGACCAGTCAGTATAGGTGGACTTTTACCATGAGGATACAACAAACCCTTCACTGCAAGTTCATAAGCTTCTTGAGTACGCAGGTCCATCTGAGAATACCTGCAGAGAGACATAATAACATACTCAGAAACACACTATGCATGAAACAAATGTATATAGACATAGTCTGACAGTATGAAATGTAATATGTAAAATAATGACTCACATGATTAAGGCTTTCTGATTGGCTCCCTGTATCATGGCAAGGACTCTCTCTAGCTTATCCTGAGTAACATGGTCTAAAAGACAGAACAATAAAGACAAAGTTTACAACAAAATGTTAGCCTGTATTCCATACATAAAAATATGTTTGTAATTTATTATAGCAGTTTCTTGATATTAAAGTTCCCATGAAACCAAAATGTACAATTATTGTTGTTTTTATGGACATAATTATTAAATTCATTTGTCTTTATGATCTTTAACCAAAATGACCTCCCCTTCCCACTCTTCTCTGATGTAAATCTCTTCTCTGATGACATGTCTTTTTGCACAAGAGCGGGACACAGTCTGTCACTCAGTCACATGACATCACAGCATTAGAAAACCACAACCATCCAATCAATTCCCGATGGACAAAATTAAGTACCACCCTAAATTTTTTTCTAGTCTGAGAAGCCATTTCACTCAGATATACGGCACAATATAGAAGAAAAGATTATGGCAACTTCAATTTCATGCAGAGTCTAAGGTTATTATAATTATTGTAATGTACAAATTACCATATGTGGTTTTCTCTATGACTCGGCTTGTGTGAGAGAAATCATCGGTGGCTCTTCCAAACTCCCCCTCAAGCGTGTAGTCCTTCAGATAGAAAACAAACAGAAAAGTCGGCGTAAAATTGTCATTATTACTATTAATGCATGTCTCCTAACAGTTCTGATTTGATCATCACTTCAGAATCAATTAGGCAGGCAGATATAAAATAAAGAAAAATAGTAAATAATTCAAATGTGAGACAAACGGTTACATTAAATATAGGCAGAGCCTAATTCTTTACCCTGGTTACATGTGATCTGCACAGATGCTCCAGCACTCCATTTCCTTTCCCAACACCTAAAACTGAGATAGAAACATGAGAGAGTTATTGAGCACAGAACACATTAAATCACTTTAAAACTCAGGGTTTCAATTGTCAGTCACCTAACACTCCAGAGGAAAAAGCATCCAAGCGATGACCAACTCCGACATGAACCTTGTGAAACTGCGGCCCTGTCACTGTAACAGAGGAAAAGTAAATAGCAAAATATACGTACATTACGGTAGTATTTGTTGCACTGCCTTTAATGCATGAAAAAAATTGTAATTGAGTAATTCTTAATGGTCAAGAAAATAATTCAAAGCAAAAATATGTAACATATGCTGTTTTTTTTTCTTTTGATTTTGTGTTTACCTTGACATGTTTTTGTAAAGTCTACCAACTAACCTAGAGGATGGTCTGCCAGAGAAGGAACCATAGAGGGGGACAATATGAGATCTTTGGAGCCGTTGTTCTCTCCACTGGACAGAAGCTGGAACTTCACTGCAAGTTGAGGAGCTGGTGGAGGACAGGAGTTCAGATCTGAAGAGAGAAAGATGGAGATTTCAGTTGCATTGAAAATCATGTATCACAATAAAAATAAATCAATCATAATTTATCACAAGAAAAGTATACTCGTGATCTAAGACCATTTTGCAAGATGTAAACAACACTGGTCCAGAAACACTTCCTGTTTCAGTTTGTAACGGTTTTCTTTATTTCACATGTAAAGAAAACATCTTAAAGACGTTGTTTAACTTCTTGATTCAGCTTTACATGTTCTGTTGGTTGTATTTTATCCCAGCTTTTATGTAGTGTTAAAAAACTGAAACAGGAAGTGCTTTTTGGACCAGTGTTGTTTACATCTTGCGAAATGGTCTATACGCATTTATGTACTGTGCACGTGAAGTAGATACGACCTTTCAGTAAATTGGACTCTATGGTGTCACGAACAAGTTTCCAGTGAACTCCTTGCGGTTTGTACACAGCAAACAGACCATCCATTCTACGGAAAAGACGTACGGCCTGTGTGGTCATTTTCGTCCAGAAATAAACGTAACAAGCATCAGTCAAATATAAACAAGAAGTAAATGACCGGAATGACGACAGGTAGGGAAGCAGCAAATTCACACGCTGGCTGCTGCTATGTTGAAAATCTGGCGTCACGTGACCGTCTTCTTCTACTGGTGTTACAGAATCACAGTGACAGTAGCGCCCTTTACTGGATGAAATACTTCAGTTCATGCATAACATTGTCGTCTTCCCATCATACATTGGAGTCTGGGGGCTAGTTTTCAAACGAGGGAAAAAGATACCTCACAAGGTCTATTTTTACTAGCATTTTTCTCTAGCAATTACTCAATTGAAAGGTGGAAATATATGTCAACACAACCAATGGACAACAATTTAACGTTATTTCATAAATGTCAGTTGGATGAAAAAAAAACGCTTTGATATTTTACTACGCAAAATAAGGTTTCCCCATAATTTCAATATCATTTTCCATCCATTAACATTAAGGAACTACTAGCATTCCTTTTGGTGGGAAAATAGCACAAACATTTTGATATACATTTTATGATATTAATAAAGTAGACATTTTGTGCAGGCCTATTAGTTGATTTATCTAATAATAAGACATTCAGTCTGTTATGATTATATCAACATTTCAAAAATGGTTAAACAATATCTTAACTTATTTAACTTTTACTGCTGCGATGTTTGGCTTTAGTATTGGAAGGCAAGTGTAACATGACCAATAAGTTGCAAAGCAAAACATTACACACAGAAGACATTCATCCGCCCAGGCGAGCAACCAGGGGTGTTAAAACCAATTCTCTCCGGACAACAGGAAGCGGCTAGGGACTGGAAAATGCTGGCTGATCTTGATCTACGGCTTATTTTTCCACCCGAGATTGCCACCACTAATCTATGATATTGTTTTGTGGTCTGGATCAGCAGGCATTGTTCAACTGATAGAGTTAACAGTGCCATGGGAGGATGCTGATGAAGAAACTGCGGTATGCTCATCTGGCCACTGAAGCAGAACAGCAAGGATGGAGAGTTGGAATAATGGCAGGATGCATCATTTCTCCACTGGCTTTTACCATGGCAATGGAAGTAATCATTAGGGCATCAAGATGGGTAGTAGGAGGAGGAGAGCACTTGGCTTCTATAGGATAAAGTGACTGCCACCAATCATCAGAGCACATATGGATGACATGACAACCAGGACTACAACAGTAGCCTGCACTAATCAGTTATTGGGGAAGTTAACAGATAATATTGAATGGGCGTGAATGCAATTTAAGCCCTCTAAATCGAGGAGCATCTCAATAGTTAAAGGAAAGATAGTGGATAAAAACATTCTTCATCAATGTTGAGGCAATACCAACAGTTTCTGAGAAGCCAGTTACAGTTCAAAGCTACGTCTTAGTTTGTGCTTATCTTGGCGAAAGCTGAGTACAAATCAGCATGAAGTTTCTAATGGAAATCAGGAAATCATAACTTGTACTAACATTATTATGTTTGTTTGGTTTAACTAAGAGGTTTTCTTAAAATGTATTTTACACTAATGTTTTTTCCCCTGGTGGTGTTGGATTCTACTGCCTAATTGAAATTCAAAATACTCTTCAATTATAGACCAATTTTGAGAATTTATATCCAAACTTAAATGGGGTTTGGCATAATGGTGAACAATAAAACCACACTGATATAAACACAAATCAGCTGATGAGATAAGTGTAAAACTAAGCAGTTGTCAAGTGTTGCTTAAAGGTATTGTGAAAGATAGGCCTAATTAGTTACATCACTGACACCACCCGCTGCAGGTGTGGCTTACATGACAAAAAAAACAGGCTGCACAAAATTGTAAGATTAAATATACGGATTACACAAACAGTGTTCCCAAAACATTGTATTATGTAATAAAATCGTTTGAGCAGGTAAACAAAGTAATTAAACA